ACCAGCCAGGGGCTGGGAATGTCGCCGCCGCCGCAGTCAAGGTTGTAGCCACCTGGCAAGGGAATGGCGTGGCACGGTGGTCATTGGTTGTTCCAGGGACCATCACTCGAGGACAGCGAGAATCACCAGCGCTACACGAACGGATGGTGAAGCTCTTGGAAGTTTTCCTTGGCATGGCTCACGAACGACCCTCGAAACACTCACCGGCATCGTTCTTGAACAGCTCGTTGGACACGACGGTGTTGTCAATGTCCACGTTCCCGCCATTGGTCATAGCGACTTCAAACTCGATGGATTCTCCCACTCCAGCCAGGGCCGTGTCCAGATCGATGGCAGCATAGGTCAACCGACTGACCATGTCAATATCGGCCACCTGATAGACCCCACGATCAAACCACACGGTTGGGCACACTTTGTTTAGACCATAGGCTAGTTGCCGTAGAGGCTCGAGGCTTGGCTTCAAGCGGGTTGATAAGCACACAGGAGCGGTACAACTTCGACATCACAGGATGGATGAGCAGGATGAGTGAGCACCATCGATGAACAGGATGGATGGGACATAATATTCGACTCCCCAGTATATACAGTCACATACCCAGACGCCCCGCTTGATGCAGCTACGCAGAACGGACCACAACAACAGCGACGAGGGATGGCCATTGTGCCCGACACGTTCTCGCGATGTCCCACGAACGCTGCCCCACCTGTGAGAGAGAGAGCTCGCGTACCTGGTTCAGGTTGATCGTCGACGTGGCGGGCTCACTCTTGATGGCATCGCTCTCCAGGTGGTCGGCGGTATCCTCGTGGTAAGCGAATGCCGTTACTGTATCCTTCTTCACTCCAGCGTTGATCTGCATTCGGTGTGTGCGCGCAAGCCGTGTCAGACCAGAATGACCACAACAAACCAAGAGACGAAGGAAAAGACGATCGCTATTGCATCACGCAATAGGTTACAGCAATACCAAACTTCGTCGACATCCTCTGTCGCGGGGTCATGCACCGACGTGGCTATTCCTTAAGGGTGTGGTACATCACCTCTGCCTGAGACACTCTGCCCGTGGCACTGCATATGAGAGACCCGGCGGGAGGTAAGCCATCGCTGGGATAGCCGGCGAGATCCTCGACTCTCCCGGGGCTCGACCCAGACACACTATCGCCGTCGGTGTTGACGCAGACAATATCCACCAGACCCTCCGCCTGGACCGCGATGTTGTATAGAGTCAGCAGGCCGTTGTTCTCGATGGTATAGACGTACTTGACCTCGTCGGCTGTGGTGGCGTTCTTGTCCTTGTTGGCGTAGGTCGATTCGAGACGGAGTTGGACAGAGCCGACCTGACGAAGATGGCAGAAGAGCACACAGTACCGGGATGCATGGAACACGTGCGGGATCACGGTTGAGTTAGGTTGAGTGGGCGGCCTGCAACGTACCGCACGACCACAGCTCACGACAGGGAAATCAACCAGCCATCCGAGCGAAGTTTGCTTCCTGCCGTGACCTCGAGCAATATATTCACGCTGCTGTAACGAGAGGCTAGGCCATACATGTACGTGCGTGTGCACGTCGACGAAAACAAACCGCCGAACGCCACCGAAGCATCACCTGGTCCAGCCCCACTGTCACTGTTCTCTCATCCTGTATCTCCCTCATGTACCCGTCCACCGCCGTCACGGATGCCGAGCTGTCCCGCTCAAGGTTGTTCACATCGGCGGCCGTGACCGCATGAAATCCGGTGCACGTCACCTCGGCGTCCAAGGCCAGCGAAGACGCCAATACCACGCTGTCTCCTTCAACGGCGTAGGCCTCGGTACAGACCAGGGTCGACTGACCGCCTGCCATGGAACGGAATGACACCACGCAGGTGTGTTGCACCGGACCGGGCCCCGAGGTTTGGCGGGACGGATAGGCCTGACGGAGCTGACATGCATCGTGATGGCAGCGAGGAGAGTCTGCCTAGAGCGAGGATAGGATACTCTTGTGACCGCGCATGACAGCAACCAGAGGAGCCGCCAATGCCATGGGTGTAGGGACGGACGCCTTACCGTGGAGATGAAGGATGTCACACAACAATCAAAAAGTGCCTTCCTCAACACAGCAACGGGACACTGGTTACCTGAGACCAGCGATGGATCGCGGACGGTGACGTCGTTCAGCACGGCGTGCCCGTTGTTCGTGATTGCCAGAGTATACCTGGCGTAGCGGAGGAATGAACGACCACCACAGACACAGCATCGAGCGTGATTGGTGTTCATGAATGTTCGTCATCGACGAATGTCGGCCACCTTGACAACTCGACAATGCCCGTTTCCTCACATACTCCAACTTCATCTGCGATGTCAACTCCCAGATTCCGACCGCCCCGGATCCCAATAATGACGCGGGTCTCACTTGATGGTTTCGCCCACCGAAGCGTAGCCGTCTTCAGGCTCCGACGCCGAATCATCCATGAACAACCCAGTCATGGCTTCAGGTGTTGAAACGCAGAACATCGAGAGGCCGAAGACAGTTAGAGGCATCAAGGGCAGCAAACCATACGCCATGCGTCAAGAGATCCGTAGGACCATGTCAGCGCGTCGAGCATGCAGACGGTCCGACATGTGTCCATGTAGTGCTTGATATGCCAAATATTACGCTATCGTGAACATCGGTCATTCTATGGCGATCGACATCGAGCCAATCATGACCGAACGTCCCCGGCTGGTACCTAGCGAGATGGACGGCGGAGGCTTGAGCTCCACTTCGATATCTTCCGAGTCGGTGGCAGGCTCGGTGGTACCAGGGGCCGTCGCGGTGACCCTGTCGGCGGTTGCATACAGCGAACGCCCGGCACACAACCGATGCGATTCAGGTCAGCACACACTGGAATGATGACACTGTCGCCGAAGGTATCGACCTTGCCAACTCGTTTCCATTCATCGTGCCTTCCGAATATCCTACCGGCGAAATCGTTTCACATGACCACGCCCCAACCGCACACATGACAGGCCGACCATGTCGAAGGCCATTGGTTCAGTCTGAACGACATGGAGGGCGGGGTATACTCACTGTTAGTTTCCTGTATGAAACCTCTACTGTCTCGAGGTTTTCGCCAACGTGTCTCTGCACACACGTATGTCCCCCTCTACTTTGACTAACCCAGCCCCATCGACGCCATACGAGATCGACTCACGTAGCGCTGGTCAGCTTCGAGCCACTGTTGATGTCCGCCCACGTCAATGAGTAGCTCCCTGTGCATGTGTATTGTACCCCCGCTCCAAGCCCGGCAACCACGCCACAGTCGTCTTCTATCGTCGCGTCCCACACAGTGATCCCCGTCAGATCAACGTTTCCGATGTTCCGCACCTATTCCGAGGTACGTTGTGTGGTGGCGGGAAACGACGAGGATTCTAAGCAGCTGCATGCGAGAAATCAACGACCGAAAAATCATTCTGCGGAGAATATCTTCCGAGGGTCACAGTGTTCCAAATACACCGTGGAGGTATCGTTGTCTGAAGTCTACATCGACGGCTGGTGACAGCAGATATTCACGAGACTGGCAGCCCCGATCACGCCCAGACGATTCACTCCACCCTGCCTCTCATCGCTTTCACCGACACCAATGGTTGGCCTGTGTTATCAACAACCCCCCTTACCGTGAAAACGTAGCTGATGATCTCCGACTGGTCCGAGTAGTCGACCGTAGGCATGTTAGGTTGGTCCTCCCATGTACCCTGACCGACTGTTCATTCCAGAGACAACGGACGTCGAAATTGGGGAGCAAGTCGTCATTGTTTGCATGCATGTGGGGTATGCACAAGTGGGACTGGACAAGCCACATACAGGCGATCGAGCAATACCTTGGTTGCCAAGGTTCTTGCATTCGACCGAAACATGAGGGAATGAAACAAGCGAGCTTATGCACCAAAGCCAGATCCATCAAGATTTATACACAGGCGAAAGGTCGACCTACTTGTATACAGTTCGGGCTGACGAAACAAACTGTTCGGCTTGCACGCGCAATCATAGAGATCGATGGAGTGTCGTCACCTAGGAGGATCTTCGCATCGTGCTCGAGAATTTCTGTCGAGACAACTGCTTTGGTCACGCCGTCTTCGGCGGTTGGTGCTGAAGCCGTTGCTGTAGCAGTGTTGGACACGCTCCCAGCATTGACCTCCGCTTGCGTGATCTTTCGAGACGACGGGCGGTCAAGTACGAACAAGTGAATAGGGAACCGCGAAGTTTTGCAGAAGAAGTGAATTTCCGGGAAAATACATTTGACTTTGTATCGTGTGCATGGGGGGAGAGGAATGATTTCCTTGCTCCTAACGGGACAGACTCGAAGGTAAGATGGAGAAATATTTATTGTTTTTCGAACGTAGAAACGCCTCTCGAATCCATCGAAAACTTCGTTGTCAGCAGCCCCCCCCACGAAGGCCGTATGCAACGGGTGGAGAACGTACTTTAGAGGGAACGAGCCTTCCCCATACTGTCTCATCTTAAGCGTGGTGGGGATTAAAACCCTTCGCTCGTGTGAGAGGTTACACGCTTTGCTACGCACCTGGTGAGACATCGTGCACTCGTAGGAATCCCCGACAGCAAGTGTGGCGACCGGCTGTGGGTCACTAAGGCAAAGGACGGCGCCGCTCGTGCCCACTACTGCCACCCCCTCCAGCGTCACCGTACCAACGTTCGTAACGGTTATTGAGTAGTCAAGGGTTTCTCCAGCATCCGGGAAACCATCGTAATCAACGTCCGTCCACGCTACTTGGTTCACTGTGGGTGTGGTCAAACGGGCGGATATTAGGCACGTCCGATTGGTCGATTTAGAATCTTATTGGCAAAGCGCTTTTTGTATGGCGTTGTCCGTGTTACGGAAGGATAACTAATTGACACAGCGATATCTTCCAAGTGCCCCTCTTGTGAATGCTGAAGTGAATCTCGGATACACACATGTGGCGACGGCATTGAGCCTCGATAACATCTTTGTCAATAGTCCTGTGTCATTACCCAATACGTTTGCGATTCACCCGGTATGGTATAAAGCATTTTTCTTGGTGGACGTGCTGGTGAATACCGATCGAAAGTACTGCCACTCACGAACGTGGAGCGATTCGTCAGTCTTCAAATCGACGACTGCGCCCGTGTCTCCTTGGACGGACTCCCCGTCCGCGTAGTACGACTCGGCCGACACCGTTGCTGAGATCACGACCTCTCCAAGGTCCAGGTCGTCTTGAGTGGCCTTTGGTATTTGCCGTCGAGCAGAACAAAGCATACGATGGTATCGGGCGCGGATTACTAGAAGTATGATAACGTCGTGGGCATACTGAGGGTATTTCTGGGTGGATCAGCCTCATTCTGGGGAAAGCCGTCGTCGCAATCGAAGCCTTTTCCGTCCACAGAGTTCGATCAACTCTTGATAAAAAAGAAACAACGTCGGGCCAGAGAAGAAATAACATCGTTCAGCGTAACTGCCTACAAATATTTATCACGGCGACAAGTCCTCTATTCCTGTTACACTCAGCCCCACCCTGTTGCACATGTATGCCGTCTGTAGAGCGTAATTGTTTGGTGAGTATCTCACCCGGCAGTTAGGTACCGTGAGTTATGTTGGTCTAGACGGGAATCCTCCGTGTTCTCGGCAGTTCCATTTCAAGACAATATGCACGTTTCGTTTTTGTTTTTAATTTGCACCAGTGGGCGTGTTTTAGTCTGCCTTGGTGAGAGTGACAATCATGAGAGGGGAACATTTGCCTCGTTTCCGGGTTTAGCGATATTGAGCTAGTACATTTAGATATCTTGTCACCGTAACTTTCCGATCAATTTGTCGCACCTGATAGCTGACGGTGCAAGAGAAGAAGCTGCCTTGTGGCAGCGTGGTTGGAGATGTACATTCGAGACACCCTGCCCCGAGCTTCGAGGCGCTCAAACAGAAGTTGTGCAGCGTCTTGGTTCCACTGTTCGTGATGTCGAAAGCGAAAGTGATGCTCTCGTCCACGTTGGTATAGCCGTTGATGTTGCCGTCGACCCAGGTACCGGTCGCATCTAGAAGTGGAACGACCAGGGGGGCAGCGAATTGGCAGTTCATTTTGCGCGTCATGTCCTGGTCTTCACACGGAAACTCGTTTAGTCGAATCGATCTACGTGTCAACGAACAAATCGTGCGTCCAGGCGTAGATATAATATTGTGGGGTCCCTTCTGTTGCGTGCATGCAACCGCTCGTGGAATGGGCTCTAGGGGAAGAGTTAAGCCAACCCGATGGTGCCGAATAAGTTACCGTAGTACACAGTCCCGTGCAGTCCAATAGTTCACAGCCTGAGGAACTAGTCGGCTTCGAGGAGTGCATTTTCAAACAAGATTAAGTGCACCATCGCCGATTGGGGGCATTTCTGTATTGTTGCAAATGATTTGTGCCGGCCGCTGAGGGCTTCCTGAAACAATTCCACATATCGTGTCCAGGATAACTGTCGGGGTTAGTAGAAAGATCCAACCGACTGCATTGCATATTGCCTGTATTGACGTTAGTATCCAACACGAATCGAATTGCAGTTTACACATCTACCATACGTCATGCCACACTGAAACCACGGGAACGGCCGTGTCCTATTTAGTACTTCTCGTTTCAAAGCATTGCTCACCGACCGTTACGGATGGAACTCCGCAAGTTTCGGAAGGGTCAACCACGTCGAAAACAATACTGGTCGGCAGCGTGGGGTGGGTAGCTGGCGAGTTGTCGTCATCTGTGTAGGAAACGCTTGCGAGTGTTTCCACGAAGCCCCCAACACTAGGGCAATCGCAACCGTCGATGACATAGGTCATCTCGCGTAGAGAGTCGTCAAGCTTGGCGATGTTCCACGTCAGGGTAGATCCTGCCCAGGACGTATTGGTCACACACAGGGTAGGGGGAGATTAGCGTTTTGTCGCTGGCCATATAAATAATTGTTGTCTGTGTACCTTGTTCCGTCTTTGCATCGTGTATTTCCTCGTACGTTTGCTCGGTTCTTCCAACGGCTCCACCACTTTCTTGTCCACGACTTAGACCGTCTGTGGTGAGCTTGTGTGAGAACCATCATCCACAACCACAACACCGACGGCAAAATCAACTGACCGACCAACCGCGACGTGTGTCTACTACGTACCAATTGTGCCAGCCCCCGTCGAAGAGGTTCCAAGTATGTATATGGATACACGGTAGTGACTAACACTAGAAATGTACTCTTTCAGCAGCAGATGCCCCGTCCTTCGCTTAAACAACATGAATCGTCTCACCGTCGGCCGTGCATGTCTCGCCCTCGCACTCTAAGGCCGTCGGGACGCCCGCAGCGGCCGAAACAACCACCGCAATCTCCACGTTGTTCGCACACGCTATCGAAATGCGGCTTACGAGCTCCCCAGCGAAGCTGTCGTCCAAACTGGCGAAGTCTTCCAGATCCAGGACGTAGTCATCAGAGTCGAAATCCCCGGTATGTGGACCGCCGATTTCCTGATACGGGTTTAGGCATGTTTACGTGGTAGGAGTTTCAAGACCCTGTTCTCATTCCTATCTGTTTCATTTATGTTGGCTTTGGACCACGAGCAATATAGTCCCTCACAGGGGTGAAAAGTATTCCAGTGCCAAGGCCGCAACGGCAACAACAACAGCAACAGCGGCAGCAATCCTACATTGGCAACAACAATACCCCGAAACGGCGACGTGGCAAGAACATCCCCCAGCTCGCGTCTACTGGCGAGAACAAAATTTACACTTTTTCGGAGACAAAATACGAGGGCCTAAAGTGAGTTTGTGGCTCCGAGACTATTCGAACCCTGGATGTCTTTACATTTCAAGATGGTCTATCTAGTGTAGGCTTGACCAAATAGACGGAACAACGCGTCCAATGCCCAAGTCCCTGTTTGCTAACGATATCGTGTTGTCGTTAGAATACTCTTTGCTCTTTGTCTACCACAACCCAAGCGTTGACGCCGAGCAGACCTCGGCCCACGAACCTGTTGTTGCGTGTGTTGAATGTTGCCCCCAATTCCTATTGCGTACATATCAATTCCGTAGCCACGGGCTATGTCGGATGCGTCCGCCGGCAAGTACTCCCCCGCGTTGTTGTCCCCATCCGTGATCACCAGCATGACCTTGATCAGTGCACAACAGTTCATGCATTGAAAGGCATGACGTCTGGTTGTTTTAGCCGTGTGATCGATCAACACACGGTGCGGGAAGGCAGAGCGACAGCATCCAGGAAACAAACACAGAAGCTAGCACGCCCTACACAAGCGTCGTACAGAGAATTCACCGAAGCCGTCGGCAAGTTGGCCCCGCCGGGACATCGGGCCAATCATACCAATCGAGCGCAAAGTTTTCCAGTCGATGTTGAAATTCATCAACCAGCTATTGAGCAACCCTCTTTGTGTGTTAACGTTCTCCCTCAGCCAGTGTCGTGTAGCGCCAATAGAACGAATGTGATCTTTTCCCGGCTATTTGAAGGTCGTTTTATCGACATATAAGTACGGTGTGAGAGTAGCCGTGGTCCCTTATTATCTCTTCAAGCTTTACATGCACCCATGCATACGATGTGCATACCAAACATGATTACCCCCACTACACATGGTGACATCACGCGACGCGGCACATAGGGACACATAGGCGGCGACGCTTGAAGAATTCCGGACAAGTTGACCTTGGAGGCTAGGCTACAATCTGCACGTTGTACCTACGGGGAACAGGAGACGCGGAAAGCAGTTCCTATTTGAAAGTGTGCCCCACCTGTCTATCAGGAAGAGCAGCTCTGGTCTGGTCGTTCTTAACGGCTTGCGCCATGTCAGCTGTGTACTTGATGGCGTCTCCCAGACACGTCTGGGAGTAAGATGGCCACTGTGGATCATGACTGTATCCGTTCATTGGCAGGGTGTAACAACAAGCACGGAACGCCGAAAAGGTAACCCTTTAAAACAATCGTAGTGTGTGTGTGTGGACGAAATCTTAGTGGAAACGTTAATCGAGCGCGTGGAAACTCAGAGACTTTTTCCGAACCGGTCGCCGGGGGGGGAAAAAATCACCTAGGGCCAAGCCTCACGCACCCGTCAGACGGCACTTGGTTCTCGCCTCGCCTCATGACAAAAGCATGGGCGGCGGAAACAAGCGATGACAAAGCCCTTCGCACAAGCGAATACACATGTAACCTGATGCCGAAAAAAGCCTACCAGACAACAACGTTAAACAACGCGGACTATTTTTGTGTCGAAATCACAAATGAGAGAAGCAATCTTGTGTGCCGAGGGGAGAGGGCAACGTGCTGTCAACATTGAAGACATACGGCTAAAAAACAAATATCTCCGAACTGTGCACGGTAAGATGGACGAAGAGCTCAGACGATGACGCATGAACTTACGCTTGGGGTTCGTAGACCATGGCGTCCACAACTTCCAAGGCGTGCGGCAAGTCTGTCGAGATGTTGTATGAGTTAGGGTACGCAAATACTCCAGTCCTGGTATTCATGTCAGAAGAAACAGAGCAAATGCCGTTGACGCGATTCTTTCATTTGGTCCCGTAAGGTATAGCAGGGTGCCAAGAGCAACATATGGGTGAGGGTCAATCTGTGCATGCTATTCCCCGAGTTTTGCGAGCGGCTGGAGAAGAGGCTTTCTCCAACCACAATGTACCTCCCATTATCCGACGGAAGCCACAAATGTATCTAAGAGTCTGTCTCTTGAGAACACGAAGCACCGTCATTGGAACTCCGGTAATCGTTTTTTCCAAGCACGTTATGTACCACCAAGAAAAAAAGTGTCTGTTCCAATGTTTTTCGAAGTGATATCGGATGACTGATATTTTGTGTTGACCGGCGCGCTTCAATAATTTCGGCCAACTCCTTTTGAAGTGGTGTCGTTTTTTGTTTTACTCGCAACCAATTTTGGTCTCAAGTGGTAGCTTTTGTACCGAAAGCTTCGCTGATAGACGCTCAACACGATTGCCAAGTCTCCGAGTAACTCTCAAGAGGCTACCTGATACATGTCGGGGAGATACGTCACAAGCTTCCAGCTCACGCGCTGCGCAAGACTTTGCAACCCCATACACAACCCTCGCGTTGGTGCCGACTTGCTCAACAAAGCCCAATGCCAGAGTAGTGTTGGTCATGAGTACCTCCTCCATGGTGGGAAAATTGGAGGAGATCGACCGGCCCGGGTGGTCAGTGACGCCGGACGGTGCTTGACGTACCAACAAGTAGATTTGAATACATTCCAATTGTGGGACAGCACATAGGGCCATGGATGGCTTCGAACATTTAGGGCCACACCTTGACCCAACGTCATAAATCGGAATTTCCTCGAATAAGCTTCGTGTCGACAAAGTGCGCTTACATTTTTGTTAATCGTCCAGTTGAACGTCCAAAAATGAACGGACCAGTGTCAGCAACTGCAGACCAGTTCCAAACAATGGCGATGGAACGCAACTCACGAGAGCACAGCTCATGGTCAAAGGAGGGCTTCGGAACACTCACTGTGGGATCCAGTTGTCCGCTGTTACGAATGGTACGAATTGTTGGCCGAAACACCTCCGCCCTGGAAAGTTTGCTCGGCATTCGCTTTGCGTGGGGTCCCCCGTTTTGTCCGTGGGATTCCAGCTGAACTCCGTTATTCCGAGCTGCCCACCGGACCCAAACAGAAAGGCCTTCTCGTACCCCAAATGGGAGGAAGCACCAAGGAGGAAAATACATCGCCATGGGTTTGACGGAGGAGAAGGAGGAGGAGACAAACGAAATATTAAGGTGGCTGCATGAGATTTTGCGAATTGTCCGAGGGTATGGCGTACGAAACCAAAGGGGGTATGTCTGTACGCGGTCAGAGATCTACATTCTGTAGGCGTAGAAGACGGTTTTGGATGGGAGAAGCTACAACGAAGGGTGGTATTTGTCTTCGCTGGTAGTAGCATGCTCGAAGGTCGGTGCACGCGCGGCTGAATCATGACCTATTTTGGCCATCGACGACCGCTGATCGAGCGACGTCGTTCCTCGAACTCGAAGTATTGTCGAGTTGGGAGCTTTGACGGAGACAGCAGCCAGCGATCGAAGCGCGCCCAGTATTACTCGCGTCCTACACATGGAACAGCAGGGGCTATTTGTCTAAGAGCGCTACCGCCATGAGTTACCCTGACGGACGTGTATTCAAACACCAAGAGTTGAGCTTACAACCAGGTGAGAGGGCTCCCGTCGTTCTTCGAAAACACAGTATGTTATTTCGTCTTTTTCTAGCGGAAAATACAGGTGAGAGCCTGCCTCCCAAACGTTGGTGCTGCTTCAGCCGGTGCTTGTGCGACTGGAACCCCCCCACACTCCGTATCATTGGTCGGGTTCGAGGTGCTGTCATCATTACACAGCACTAGCGCAAGTCGCGCTCCCCAAGCAGTGTCAAGCAGCAAGTCCAAAGGATCGTACCATGTTCCACACGATTAATTTCGAGTTCAGAGTCGTGGAGTATTACATCACCAATCAAAAACGGAGCTCGTGCGCGGGCACTATGGAATGGAGCACAGAGTCTTTCAGAAAATTCCGGCTTTGAAAACATGCCGTGCTGAGCAGTGTCGTCGTAGAAACCCACCACTAAACAAGTAGACTCTTACCGAAGAGTCGAGGTCCTCAATGAAGGTCCTGACGAAGTCGATGGCAACGTTGTAGTTGTCTTGACCAACGGACCCCGATTCGTCGAGAACGATGAACACATCCAGAACCTAGACCGTGATGGCGGGACAGGATTGAAAACTGACCAAGGAAGATATGATGGACTGACGTACAGATACATGTTCTCGATACGATGCCATACACCCATCGACCAAAATACGTCGAATTTGTTGAACTAAAAGGAAGAGCACGACGTAGCGGCAAGGATGTTCGATATCCTGAAGTGCTTTGCGTGGGTTCTAGCTCGCTACCTCAAAAGCGGAGTTCATGGGTGACTGGATACTGAGTATTGATCTTCCTCCTGCAACTTGCACCACACTAGGACGGGGCCAGAGAAGCTTCGAAGGGCACGGTTGATCATACTTCAAAACAATACAGAGGCAGAATACCTCAACTCTTCAAAGTCCCGTGACGCGGGTCAAGCCATCCACCCGTGTAGCCTTGTTTCTTATCTCTTCATTTGTGGCGAGGAATGTCGTGCCGGGCACGCTATGTAAGTTCAAGCAAGCAAGCTTCACCGAGTCATGTGTTGTTGATGTTGTACGGAAGCGGATGTGCGGGGAAAAGGTCAGGACGGTACGCTGTGAAGCCAACAGCAACAATACCATCACATCGTGGGGCGAACTGGGCTCACCTCCGTCGCTATTGCTTCGGTGGTGCTTCCGGCTGTCTCCCAGGTAACTTTAACAGGGCATCCACTACCTTGGGTGTCGTCCGCCATATCCACCTGCTCAAAACAGGATATCGCGCAGTTCGATCTCGCTTTGCGTGTTCTGAATCCATCAACGGCTTCCCACCATCGGATCAATCAGTAATCTAGACCTCGTGGTCTCTGTTCACCAATTCAACATGGTAATAAAACGGTATAAGTGGACACCAGTACATCGCGCAAAGAATTTCATAGAAGTACATTGTTTACCATCTACGAGGATGGGGAGCACGGGGAAAACACGGCATGTTTGCGTTCACAATCAACAGCAGCGGTATTGGCACCTTCTAAATAGTCTGCTCCAGATGCAAGAGATATCAATCGTCTCATCGCGAAAGACAGGCCAGACTCAGGCTGATTCTCCATGTGAGGAAAGATTTCTCCGTAATCTGTAATGTGGTGAGACGCATGGTGTGTAACTACACTGGCTCCTTTGGTGCACAAGCTGAGGTTGAATCACCACGCTTGATATGGGTACTGTAGATATGTTGTGCGGGCCAGCACTCTGCTTGATAGCATTTTGACCGGCGTTTTGTAGATGCCGTCAAACAAAATATATACTGTAGAATAGACCATGAAATTTCTACAGTGCGCACCACGGTCAATATGAACATAGACTACAATAGTAGTGTGAGTCAAATCTTTGTATCTTTGTAGACAACATACGTCGCTGAACGCCGCCGTCCAAAAAAAGCTATCGCACTACAAAATTACTCATGCAAGTGGCAAGCGGACATACTCCACGTTCACACGCGCATGCGTGTTACATTAAGTTACGCATGCGCCAGTTGATGGAGGTTGAGTCATGTGATATACTCGATGGGTGTTTGAAAGTTTTTTGCCATACGTGCGTGATTCGGAATCCTTTACGCGATTAGTCCACGGCGTGCCGGGGTTAGACGCCTGTAGACTTCGGTAAATATCGCTGTAGACACACCGTCTGTGTAGATTTCCGCAACGTGCATACGAGCACTCCACAACTCTTACGCCCGTTCGGTAATCATGTTATCCTTGAAACCACGAGACTCACCTGAGAATGGGAAACAGAAGCAACCACAGTTGAACATGATGATTCCGATGATGTAACCACGGCGCTCGAGATCAAGAGAAGGCAGGACGTTGCCACAGAGGCGAGACGTCGCATCTCTGTCTCGGCCAGGTCACCGGCCGCGAGAGTTCCCGAAGTTTTTGAACAACGCTTTCTCTCTGGGCCAGATGTGGTCACGGACCAAAGGAGGCTCTACTAGATCTACTCTGCGAGGAGTGGCGTCGCAACAAGTGGCGAGAACATGATCACGATACATCACGCACGACGAACAGGCACACGCACGTAATATGTTGCGGTTCATGCGAACCATATCTTGCGGCGGAATTGCAAGATCATGCGGCAGTGCGGCAAGTTTTGAAAAAAAAAAACAAAAGGATTGAACTTGGACACGAGAGCATTCAGAGCGAGAGAGATTGCCTACACCCGTTGTTATCAGCCATCTACATTCTACGCACGGAATTACGTCGCTGCCGTGCTTTTAGCTTTCATTTGTGGTGTGTGTTGCGCAGCAAGTGAGAGCGGCCGAAATGTCGCGCGTTCTTGGCACGACACGTATCTATCGAACAGACTTGTACATAGCATACATGCTTCAGGATGTGCCCATCGTGGCGGGCCTTCGTGTGTCATATACTGGCTTTGGTATTGCGGCTCTCGCACCCATGATTTCGAACCAAGAAGATGTCAGTACTCGCTTACATAGTATCGCATAGACTGTAGAATACGAAGTAGTAGCATTGCGGTTTACGCACCCGTACAAGTACATGTAGTCCAGCCCCCAAGTCCGTAGTCTAAGGCTATTCATGTAGTTCGATTGTAAAAGAAATGTTGGTGAATCAGTTTGCCTTGAATAATATGCGTACTGTAGACCTACACATAATCGTCCGGCAGTGATATTATCCACTAACCGTAACTCACCGCTTACACCACCCCATCATGCCCTCCCTACTGTCGTAGCTGAAAGCTCCGATCCGCGGCGCACGCCTTTACCTCGTCACGTTAAAGAATGCCTGGTTCAGCATCCCAAGGGAGATCATTGCCCTGGGCCACAGTCGATCCAAGGAGGCCCATTCACGCACTACGACCATGCTGATGCACTACAACGATACCCAATCGCCCCTCGCCCAGGTCCTTGTAAGGCTACTCATGTCGAAGTCAGTCTCACCACACATTAAGCCGACACCAACCAACACGGCTGTGGAGAACGCGCCACCATACCGGAGGGAAGAATCGTATTGGTCTACAGAATCGAGGATCCCCTGAATGGGATATGTCTCTTATGGGCAGCCACCGACGATACTTGCTGTGTCCAAAGCCTCCCAATTCGTTGACGGTTCAGGTCGTTCGGGGCATGGTCTGCCGCATGGCCACACGGGTTCATCAACAACGAAAAGTGTAACGCCACCCATGCCACGAACGAGAATTTCTCACATGATGGCACCTCGGAAAATACAAGCACAGAAGTATAAATATCAAACAACATCGCTTATATTACAGTACAAGGAGTACGACGCCTTCATTCCAAAAACGTCGCCACAACCTTGAACGAAGAGCTGCTTAACTGCTAACATGCGGTTCTGCTCAGCCTTTCTACCCCTTCCGCCCACTGACTGCCTTTCCCTTCTTTGCGGCGCTGCTCCTACCCTTCGCGGCAGAGGGTTTTCTTTTCGCTGGTGCCACGGTGCCTCCCGCGGCTACGGCAGCCTCGCCCGCCCCGGCATATTTCGACACGAACTCCTGAATGAGGACACGCGCCAACCAGACGGCAATAGGTCAGGAGACGAAAGAGGAAGTAAACTGACCCTAGGTGTCCAGTTCTTTTAAGTGCAGTGTAGAGGAACTCACGGGTAGGTAGGACATCCCCCAACTCTCTGACTCGTCATACAGGAAGGAGCGAAAAAACTGTGGGCCACGCCGAATTACTTGAGGTTTCAAAGGCCACTGTTGCACCACCGCTTCAGTTTAACTCGCCGGCTTTGGATACTACGCAACATGGAGAAACCTCCAAATACTTTGAGAAAGCATTTTACAGACCCGTTCAACCCTGCGGCAAGACATGAGCAGTTGAACAAAGTGTATGCCACGACGGTCGAGGCATTTCCTTACTGTCTATTTACGAAGTTTCTTGGGGCGTCTGAGACGACGGAGAGCCGATTCTTGCCTGTGTGAAATCACAGATAACTTCGGTGTTTGGTGACGGGTCAACAACAAACAAAGTGATCGAAAAAGAATGATACCTGCACGTCGAACTTCCTCTTGCAGCCGGCGTAGTTCATATATCGAATCTTGCCGAACACCTCCCGCTCTTTCCATCCCATGTCGTGAATACCCATCACCGACCACGCGCACCCGGTGAAACCGTTGGGGTCCCTGCCGTCTAGCTCATACTTGTCATTGAAAAATAAGCACCTGGTACATGGGGGAGGGGGTTGAGGAAGCGGCAGGAAGACGCCAAACCCGGATGGGTGCAGGGCACGAAAATACTGAAACAGACAACACAAAACTTATACAAACATACTGGAGTTCGTGTGTGTGTTCATCCCATCTATTCTAGCGCCTGCACACCTTTCCGTGTATATGTTTCGCGCATTTGCCTAGGTCACACGTTAAGAAGGTCACACAGGAATGTGGGAAAACAATAACCTTCCCCCATGACAGAAATAACAAAAAAAACAAAGGGTGACACGGACTCCTGCTGTGATGACGGTATGTCTACGGACGCATCAGCGGAAACAATGGGCTGCCTCATCTCTTGACCACTGCTGAGTGCTCGACGATTTCAACCGTAAATATTCAAACCGTGGTGAGACCAACTACTGGTTTGGCATGTCGAAGCCCCCCAAAAGACAACTAGGTGTACATGAGCACACTGCAGCCAGTATCGGGCCCATGACACATCAAAGCACACCCCGTCCAAGCCAGCTGGGGTTCGCAGGAGTCCCCCTTCACAAAGTGGCCAAACCATGAGAACTGTGCAAACCGAATACCCCCCGCCCGAAGTAGACGTCAGCGGTGCAAATCGGGACTGGAAACGTAACGATCTCGATGGCAGCCCGAAGGAGTTCGGACCACTTCAGTTGCAAACGGGATGGGTATGTGCGTACCGGGCATAAATAGGAGTATCTGGAGGCACCAAAGTAACGACCGTTTCGCTCAGTCTTACCTCTCGAGCGCGTCGTGGGGGGACGGAGACCATTCTAGGATTTTCTTGGCCCAGTACATCCGGAGGAAGTTGTGCATCTTGCCATCCCTCACCTGAGTACGATGGAGCCAGGAAGGAAGGGGGGAGGTAGCGTCAGTGAGCACCACGATTCTTGTAGGGGGACGCGCCCCGAACATTGTGATTGGTGTACACACCAGCCTCTGTGAAATCCATGGTGAATTTACAATTTACGACTGACCCCGCGATGAGAGAGAAACGACCAAAGCACCTCGTAGAAGGTGGCGATACTAGAGCCGGGGTGGCGCATACGTTCCCAACACGCCTCGTTCAACGCCGGCCGCTATGCACAAGCATGGGGCGTCGAGACCACCGCCAAATCCTCCCAACATACGACCGACATACCACAAACATGTTTTTCCAGCTGGAGCACCAGACAGCAGCAATCTGTACCAGAGGCAAATGGTTACACGAGCAAACTCACCAGCACAACCAAATGATCCATAGACAAATACGACAATACGTCAAGGTCGTAGATTGCACCGCCCCAGAAAACACCGGCCCGAATTCAAATTTGACACCAATGAAGAATCAACAGTCTTTACATGACCATACCAACTGGAGTTGCGCGGCGTTCCAGAGGTCCTCATGGGTCTTTGCCTCCTCTAGCTCTTGTACGGAGTATGTCCATTCCCGCTGATCGTTCGCGTGGGCTTCGAGCGACTCACGTGCCCAGCCCGCCGCCCCGGAGAGGTTGTCGTAGTTGTCTGCCAACAACGCGGAGAATCACACCGATCCAGCACCAGGACAAGTTAGAGCTAGAGAGCGTAGGGTATTTGCTACAAAGTGAATTTGGTTTGCACCGTGGACTTTGTACTCAACTGAGAAGTGTGCCAATGGCACACAGATAAACTGTGCTTGCTTCTCGAGAAGTGTCACTTGCCGTTAGCGTCCAATTTTCGTCGTGTGGGCGGCCCTTACGTATTGGACAGGAGAAAGCTGCCTCAAACACACGTCTCCGGCAAAGAAAACAAGGCAGAGTGCTCTCACACAAAAGGATGAACACTTGACGGTAGATCATTATGAAAAATTCAAAGGCCTTGGTATGATCACAGCAGCTCCGCCACCTATTTTTCCTTTGCCATAGACCAGCGTGCGTTGCAGCCCACCAAACACCTCCTAGTGAATGACTTCGATGCGCTCTTCAAGGTGGCACTGATGGAAGTATGGCAAACATGGATACCAAGGCAAGGCGAAGGGTGTCAACAGTCCGTTCGTAGAAGGAAGACAGTTGCAGATCTCCTTCCGGCTGCCGATGCTTGTTCCGCGAAGGCCAAACACGGTACACCCAACAGCGTCCACAAACACAACGGTTTCTACTGCGCGACGATGAAGTGGTGATACAAAAAACAACGAAAGGAGGCCTCATCTGAGCAAGTCCTCACACGAAAGAACAATGCGTCATGACCGGCACCTTAGGGCAATGTCGGCGAAATCAGGCAGAGAACACTCAGAAAGATCCTTGAGCTTACCGTTGTAGAAGCAGAAATTGTCGGAGAGCTCTCGTCGGACGACCCCTTGCTCCACGAAGGCCTTCACTCCGTCGGGGTGCCGCCTGGAAGCCTTAACTCGCATCACTGCCGCCTGCGCGCTCATCTGCCCGAGGTTGAAGTACGGCGACATGTGCGAGCACACGTCCTCGTTGGGGTTGTTGGAGAGGTCCGCAAAGCCCTTCATTCGGGTTTCGATGAAGGATTGGAGGTTGTCGCTCGCGCCCTTCGCCCCCGGCTTCAGCCATGATATCTCTGCCGCGCCACACCCATATCGAGAGAAGGAAATATAGCGTCACCTCATATCATGAGATGACATTCGGGTTGTTTTCGCCATCCCCCACATTACGTCGCATAGTTCCCACCCGTGCGGTATTGCGTTGCTCAACTGAAGCGCTCCGGTCGGGGGTCACACGGCGGTGTTCCCTCTATGCAGCACGTCTTCATTGTCAACGCAAGGACGGTGGAGCGCTTGCGGAGTTCCTCTCTCAATGTCCCATCAGACCAGTTGATGTGATGTCATAGATACCAAATTCTTGGTAGTATAAATTGCCCGCGAGTGTTCCAGGGCGAAATGAGAATTTCTTAGGCATGAGGCAGACACTCTGCAGAGTCATGTCGCTCGATGCCAGGAAAAAATAAAGCAAGCCCCTGTAGATGGGCCGTCAGGCTCCGTTTTTGGGACAGATGTATGTCTCGTCTATGCCTCGTCTGAGCCCGTGTCACGCCACGTCATGCTGTAGAGGCGTCAAGCCCCATGATTGATAGAGTCAATCAGTCGGTGGCAGCATACCACCTTGGTCCACCACGCTAACCCCGGTCTCACGATCCGTCGTCTTCGAGATCGCCTCCCACTCCCAATAGAGGGAGCCGGCGTGGAACCGCACGGCTCCCGTCAGGCGGTCCGTGGCCACCGGATCGACTATAACAAATCGACATGGCGAGAGGCGCTCATGATATGGGAGAGAAGGGAGGGGGAATGGCGCTGCACTCACCGAGTACCGAGCGCGGAATCGAACGCAGATACGACGGCGGCGCCGTTGAAGAATGAGCGGAATTTTACAGAAACCTCACTATAATAGTATCCTGTTTTCCGGGGTAGCCCGCCTTGTTTGGACGGTGATAGACAGCATCTCGCTGCTCATTGGCACGATCTGCGACAATTTCGGCTTTTGTCGACTCTTCCAAATGGACTACTATAATAAGAACACACACGCAAGGTCTCATACCGGGGACGGATCGGTCGAGGTCGAGGGACGTCTGAGCCGCTTTCCAGTCCGTCGCCGCAGGAAGCTTGGTGCCTTGTGGGTTCGGGCTCAGCTCTGGAATAGCTCCCAGAAAGTCTGGGCGCGCGTGGATCTTGGGACGGATCGTACGGGCCATTGTCTCCTGGTGAACGTGGAAGTTAACAAAGGATAAGTGGGGGGGGCGGGGGGGCGTGTCGGTGTGTGGTTCCACGGGTGTTTATACAAGGCGCAATGAGTGCTGAAGAGGGTTTAAAGACGCTGGAGTAAGTTGAGCGCTGAGGGTTCCGCCACCAGGCGCAAGATGTCGACTCGGACACTCTTCGGGAGAATAGCTCATATTGTCATCAAAACACAAACGCCGATGCAATCGCGGCCGACATTGTAGCCGCCATACTCAAAGTGTCACCATCAACGCTTCGGCGGCACCAAATAACCACCTGACCTCGCCGCATCTTCGGAATTGTGAAAACATTCCTGTTCAAGTCCGAAACTTCTAGACAAACGTCGTGCGCGGCTGAAGTGGCAACTGGCAGTGGAGGAGGCATCACCCACACCTGTTTGTCGGAGGTCGCCCATACCGGCACCACGTTGTGAGCGTCCACCTTTATCAAACCAACGACAGGCACGAGAACGAACACCGAGAGGATTTCAGCTAGAAAGACGACGGCGCGCAGACAAGAGTGATGGGTGGAGTGCACCCTCACAAAAGCAAAATTGTTGTCATGCACACATATTTATCCCGCCCATGCAAAATCCAACGAAACTAAATTGGAACCGGCCACACCGAACTTACTTCCCGCACGGAGTTGATGGTGAGAACTTGCTTGAAACTCGGACTCATATTTGCGAGACTCACATTCATCATCGCGGAGTAGCCATCTCGGATCTAAGGGTAAACATGGTGAGATTGTAGTACGAGGGGGGCTCGGCAATCGGCAATTAAAATCGGCTAGGCAGGCTGGATGCAACCTGTAACTCCCACGGGAAAAACCCGTTCACACCAACGTGCCTGCAAGCCTCGGCGAAGTACAGCCCAGAGCGAGGATCTAACGTTCGGCAGGGGGGATTCTCGGAGTACACCTAACCTTGCCCGTAAAAACAACTAAAATGACGATGGGATGGAAAATAGCGTCGGTAATTGCCTGGAAGAGAGGAGTGCCGTCCCCAGACTTGTTCAGCTCTTCCGCGACCTCGCGCGCACGGCGTGTGGGGTCCCGTAAGGGACACATGTCCGTCACAATGGCCAACGCCCCAAGCTCCTTCGCAAAAGCGGGCACGACGTCTGATCCGTGTTTCGCAGAGCGCGCGCGTTGTGGCGGGGACGATTCTCAGTGAAAAGCAGGTAAGCTTGGATAGCGAAAGAAACGTAATTCGTTTTCGGATCAATCGTGAATTGTTGTCCCACAAAGCCGATATGCCGGTACGTATACATACCATAGGTCTGGGGTAACAGCCTATTGCCCTTTTCTCCATGACTTCCCCCACTTGACACAAGTAGAGCCATTCGCCCGTCAAACACACTTGAGCAGCAGAGTGCGCGGTTTGATATTTGCTCCACCAATGGGGAAATGCTTCGCACGGGGTGCGTCTGAAGTTCTCTCGAACAGATAATGGACAATCCGAACGATCCAAACGCCAGCTGATAAAAACAATGTCTTTCTGAGTTTCTCGGGCGCTCATATACCTTGCATACAAACTGACAGTTGTTGCTGTAGGAGTCACATGTCCGTTGCTGCTCCTCCCTGTCCTCTGCTGGCCTGTTTATGAAACATTTGTCACACACGGGTTTAAAAGTTGTCGACAATTGTCTCCCTCTCGGGATTCCTGACCTCGTGGTTCGGCAGCCTGCAACAGGTGGAAGGGTATCTTCTTTTTCCGCAGATCCCCCTCTGTCTCCTCAAGCCCCTTCAGCATGAAACCCGCGTACCGAAGCGTGGTCTGCAGGTGTGGGAGCCCGCAGCGGACAACAGACAGAGAGAGCGAGACCGGGGCAGAGAGAGAGAAGGAAATACGGGGAGAAAGAGACGAAGTGGAGAGAAGGGCAGAGGCATGAAAAGAGACGAGGGAAACATTTTACAAGTTGACATGGACAATTGAGGCATCGCGTGATCGCCGTGCCATGGGAGTCTACCTCGTCCAAGCAATAGGTGTGCCGATTGGCTGCATATGAGGGACAAAAGCAGAGCAAGAGAAACTGTGCCACGTGCTTGATAAAACCAAAAATTGGTTGGAGGCGGTGAGGCTTATTGGCACATGCAGAAGCTGGTCCCTTGGAACAAAACAACAGATAGAAAGAACGACGAGGAAAGCCCGAACTCAGCGGATTCGGTCGAAGTGCAATCCGACCACAGAAAATGAGCAGCGAAAGATGGCATAATGACAATCTGCAGACGGTTCCAGCAGGACTAGGTTGCATCAACTGGACAATCAAACGGATCCGTCATGTGTCACGCAACATGCAAGGGGCATTCGCACGCACGGCCCCAGGCAAAGAAACTGCCGGAAATAGCGTCAACAGAGAAAAAGCTCGAAGAAAGGATTTGACTATCAAGTTGGCGCATCAACCGTGCTGACGATGGGTGTTTCCTTGTATAGGAGCATGAGCTTCATGTTCGAACTCATCCTAATCCACATCCTCAAATATTGAATGACAGAAAAATCTGATTTGGCAGCTTCTACGAACAAAGGAACGTCGTTTGATTTCGAGTGCTTGCCACACCGTGTACTGGCACCCCCTCTCGTCTCATTTGGTCGACAACAAAGCCGGAAGGAGCTCCTCCCTCGCATTGGATATTTTGAGGAAAGGCACAGAAGAGGGTTTCAAATCGGAGCCGCGGCCAAGTCTTGCAAACCTTCTTTCAATCACGAGAAAGTACGAGTACAGAGCTGTAGAGGTATATGCGGCAAATACCGCTGACATTACGTCGACTAATCAAACAAGGCACGGTGATTTTCTAAAAGATAAGCAACTTGAATACTGGCTCGCCTGTGTCATACGTTCGTCTATCATTTAAGTCTAGGTTGTGGGTAATTGCCGAATGGCATCCGATATCGTAGAATGTTCGGGGCGCCCGAATGGCTCACACGTATTTCGGCCCACACACATTTCAGTGGTGGATGAACTGGCCACCCATGCAGCTGTGCTCAACGTTCGGTGCGTGCGCATGGCACTATGATATCAGGAACGATTGGGAACCCTTTCTTCACCGCGCCAAGTTGCTTTTGTCGATCAACTCGCGCACCCCGACGCTCACCCCAACGCTCACCCTTTTGACCCACCACCTGCCGTACCCAAGTCCATCTCTCCTCGCGGTGCAACATTTTTAAAGGCCAGACGTGACTCTAGTTTGGGCACCCTCTGCCTCAACTCACAGCTCTCGTTCTCTCTCTCGCTTCCTCACACACACAAAGACAAACACACACAGGGTTCACATGCACACCTTCGGCTCAGTAACCTGCCACGCCCCGAGGACGAAAGCCACCACCAGCGGCACGCCACCCTGTCGTCAGGAGAAATACAGGGCGACCCGTGGACTTTCAAAGGGCTTCAAACGGCAAAGCTAATTGCAGGAAACAGCAAGAAGCGAACAGTGTGATTAGGTGCTAATCGGGACAGCGTTCTTGGGTGAGTGCGTCGACCAAAATGTCTTTTTCGTCACGTTTCAACAAGGACCACAAGAGCAAAACGCATGCTCCGTTAAAGCGTCTTGTTCAGAATAAAAGACACACTTCCCGTGCGCCCAAACTCAGCGGAGGTTGCGTCGTGCTGGCCGTAATACTCGTTTTCCATAGTATCTGGTGCCCCGTTACTCTACCGGAACGCTGCGGGAGTGTGGATGACGTTGATGCTGAGGGTTGTTCCTCGGCGTTCGCCGACCCCTCGCCTAGGTGCTGTGTGCGCTCACGGCGACTCCCCTTCGTACGTCCTCTGCTCTACGCTGGCTTGCGTGCATACTGTGCTCACCTCCTGAGCTAAATTCTTCGCGTATAGCATGGCCCAGTTGTCCTCGGCCCGCTGATCCCGGCTCATCCAGTAGACCACGCAGTTCCCTGACAAGGCACATGATCACCAAACACAGCAGCCAGTACCGTTCGCAATCAGATGAAGAGGATTGAGACCGTTGGGAAATAGCAGTACACATCTACAAGCTTGGGTTCTGCTCTAATTCGTTCCGCATTTGCCACAGGGGCGGGTCTGCTCAAGTGATGTGTAAATTAAAAACGCGTCGACTTTTGCTTTCAAAATGGAGGCACAAGCCTGTTGAACATTTTTTCTGCACTCTATCACGCTAAGAAGTGGTCGTGCTCCATCAAAACCTGTGGTGGTAGTCCTGCTTCAGTATGCTATCGGAACCACTACCTACGAGACCCTATAGCGAGGCTCTGGCCGCGAGGAACGTGATCCTCGCAAAATTAACAAAAACAACGGAGGAGCTTGAACACGAACTGATGTGATGCCTGATGTTGAGAGCGTGACACAACAGCCTCGCGTGGCTCTTGGTTGTCGCAGCAACCACGATAAAAAAGATGCCCCCGCAAGCCTCGCGCATAAATATAGTGCTGCTGCACCCACTGAAGACATTTGATTCTCTACGGCGCAATGCGACCTCCCGGACGGCAATTCATCAGGGTAATAGCAGACGAAATCGCCCTGACCAACACGAGCGAGAATCACTTCGACGCAACTGGTACCGCTGGCAGCGTGCCAAGCGGGTTTGAATTTTCGTTCAGGGTTTCCATGCGTCACCGAAAATGATGCCTCCTCCACCGTTTTTGTGTTGGATCTGCATTGGGGGTGGCATGTGGCTCTCTCTCTGCTTCATCTTCTCTGGCGAACGGGGCGTTGTCACCAGTGACATGGCGGTTGCCCTGCTACACAACGGTAGTTCGGGTGGGTCCGGAAAGGCTGCTCTCTCCGTTGAAGTGTATGGTGGCCACGGGTAGGTCTTGTTGAGACTAGTGTGGCGGTGTGCCAATCACAAGAATTGCAGAGTTTCGTTTTGCTTCCCCTTTCGCTGGCGGGGCGTTGACGGGGTCCCATCATCCGCGGGGTGTTACTCACATTGTGGCATGTAGAGACATTTTCCATGGATTTCAGGGGTGCAGAAGCGCAGGTGCGCTTTGAATTGCGTCTTGAGGCACCGACTAGACCCTGTCCAAGTACATATCCCAAGAACGCAGTTTCCGTGCTCTACAATTTGTACTCGCTTGTATGCATACGTGTATACTGTATGCAATAACTTGTATGGTACAGTACTACCGTATGTGACACAAGATACCACACCCCGTACACCGATTTTCAAAACTTACTCCACGACGGATGCATCAATGAAACGATGCGATTTCGGAAAGCTCCAGATGAGACGGCTTCGACACCACCGTTTTCGGCACCTCGATTTTCTGCTGTGGAGAAGTCGATCTTTGAAAATCGGCCCAGAGGGTGCAACATGTTATGTCACCACATACGCTGCAACTACGACTTTCTGCTGTGGAGAAGTCGATCTTTGAAAATCGGCCCAGAGGGTGCAATATGTTATTATTCCTTAATATGTTATGTCACCGACGGTAATCTACACATACGCAGCAACTACATATTACATGCACCGCCGTCCTCAGGCCAGTCTTGGCGGGACCGCATTTTGAAAAACGCGCTCACGAGTTGCACCCCATAGCATATATACTGAAATCTTCAAGCGGTACGTTTTTTGCCTCACCTTGGTCTCGCGGTACGCTAGCATCCGTAAGGCATCTCACACGCTCAGCTTTAAACCAGTCTGGTGTCTCAAGCAGCGCCATCGAATGCAATATCCTCCCGGAGTGTACGCGGCAAATGCGGCTGGATCTCAGCTTCGGCCGTGAGTCAGGTACGGTTGTCGGACGGAAAATCGACAAACTTCGCGACAGGTAGAGGGACGAGAGCACTGCACCCGACTCAATCAACGCAAGGACACCATACATCAAGTTGACTCTGCCCTCCTCGTCACTCCCGTGCTGCCGCTGTACCACGAGCCAACCCGCTAAACATTCAAGCCGTAGAGTTGATTGCGCGAAAAGAGGCATTCGGTCACCGGGGCTAAGCATTGCCGAACCGGTCGCAGTTACGCCGCGATACAGCCGTTAGCGAGTTAGCGAGCTTGTGTGCCGTCCGGTGCTCTCTCTGCTCGTTGGGACTCCTATCTCCCTTTCTATTTCCCTCGCCCCTGTTGCTGCCACCCTCTTTACTACTAATATGTAATGGTGCAATCCATCGGGATTGCCTCTTGAAATGGGAGCGGGAGCTTCGGCCAAGAAACGTGGAGCGGAAGGCAAATTGAAAGGCGTTGTTCGGGGAAAGGGCGATAAAAAAGCCGGGGTAGCCGAGAGTAAGCGGTCGGCCGTGGTTGGAACACCAGGAGACGCTGGCGGAGGACAAAAGGTAGATTTCCGTGGATGTAATATGCCACCAGCTTCAGTCAAAGTCGAATATGAACGTTAAGTCTGCACTACTACAGTCGTGGAGCATTTCACACCCTGCCGAGGCTCAGATTGACACGTGTGTGTGCTTTCATCTCATAGACTAGACTTATAACATGGTTTCCATCTGTAGACTACTTAGCCGCGTAGTTTGTACGTAACCGTATCATTTCCATCATCGTTTTCATGTGATGTGATCCCCCGTCATCCACCGGTTGGGACCGCGCCCCGCAAATCCTGCACCGCGCGATAGTGTGATGTTTCCGTGTGTAGTGTCTCTTTCAAGCACTACAAAGAAAGGCGCACGAGAATGCCGTGGCTCGCCAATTATATCGCTGACATACTCTAATTTCTGCGGCAGTAAACAAGATTGGAAATGAATGGAGATGACAACGCAACCTGCCTCGTTCCGTGAACGGCGCGTTTACCGAAACGTTCATGCTCCTTGTGATCCTTGATCGACAATAAATGGCAAGGGTGCGCAGAGCGAAGAAACTTCCGAAGCATTCGAGGGAGTAGAAGACGTCCTATGTCGACTCGCCCAGACACACCCGACCCAGACGCCGGAGCGCTGGGAACTTATCACCCAAAAGTTGAATCGCGCTATGAGGAATAAGAAAATCTCCGCCCAGCCCATGAAGGATATATTTGCAAAGGAAGGTCTATGCATCCCACAATGCTGGGTGGCCGAGAAGGCTCAAGCCGAAAAGGACCGAGCTCTGGCGCGAGCTCAAAAGGCAGCGGAGAAGAAGGAAGGTGCGTTGGGTAGGATCTTATTCGGAAAGAAGAAGAAGAAGACGGCCGCCGCTGCGGTCGCCGGTTCAGACCGAAAGAAAACGGGAGAGGGCCAAGCGGTTGGAGAGGTCACAGCGGACGAAGCAAACGAAACCGACACTGAGACGGAGTCCGATGAGAACGTTGCAGACGACCCTGCGGCAGGGACAGAAGGAGGACAAGCATCGGTATATAAGTACAAGGCTCTCTCGAAGTACGAGGTATTCTCCTTCATGCGGAGGGTTCATGACCGAGCCGGTGCTGCGATGATTAGCACGGAAGAAGCCGTCGAAGATATGCGTAAGGCCAAAAAGATGGTTGACACGCTATATGAGCACCTTCCTGTGCAGACGTTGAAGGAGATTTCGCAGCAGAACCGGATCAATGCTAGCCTGATGCAGGACTCCGTCGCATACGGAGAAATTGATATATCTCATTTTTTGAAGGTAACACCTTGGGCACGTGTAAAGTATCGGTTTTCGAAACAATGTTGAACATGTTCAGAACAGGTAGGGATGGTCAATACGTTGACATTTTTGCTTAACAGCCCAAAACATACCGCAACCAACTGTGAGGCGTGTACGGTAGGCATTGGGCCATGTCTTGCAACAAGCGCCTAGTTTGTGCTTTACCTGCCCGACTGTAAGACGTGGAGAGCGGATCTCGTATGGGTTGATGTATTTCCCGAGCGAATCCGCTTAGCTACGACCAGACAGCAGTGTGCTGGAACGAAAATAGTAAGAATAATCAAGTTGTGAACATCGTGTGCACGCGCTTTGGCTGCGATGGTGCTGATACTCCAGGGGTCTTGTCCGAAGCTCCGCTGTTGTGCTTGGAATGACACTGCTGTCATTGTCTTCTGGACCAGGTGATGGTGAAATTGAAGCGAATTCACGGAAACATGATGTCTGTAGGCGGAAGTTTTTGGGACCTTGGCTCCGGTGTTGGGAAGTGCGTGATCGCTGCTGCGATGATGCACAATTGGGAGGTAAGCACGCCCACCACACCAGCAGGACCCTGTATCGGTTTGTTGTGTAAGTCGTCTGGAGCGGAGGCACCACACTCGTGCATTGTATGCTTCTCAGCCTCACGACATTAGCTCGTTACACCGTTACGGTGCGATCGGTGCGCCCTCGATCGTTGACACGTAGGTGTTGTTTTGATTTGCCGCCCACCAGCTCGTGGTCTCCGGATCGAGACTATCCCAATCTTTGGGTATGCAAGACTTGTCCAACTGCTCTGATCAGTCCATCACCTCGTTTTCTCATTTTTTGCTTTCATCGACAAAAGTCTTGCTATGGCGTTGAGTGTCTCGAGGATTTACGAGCAGCAGCGAGGCCCACGCTAGAGAGATGGAGGAAGGAGGAGGTAAGAAGACGAACGCACCCGTACTGAGGCGGCTTCCCGCGGAAGATCTACAAAGTACTGCAGTACCTCCGATCGAAGTACAGATAATGTTTTGTTTGCCAAAAGTCAATGTCGGAGTCACTATGGCTGGGTCTGCACCGCGATCCTCTTCAGGTACCCAAGCTGCATAGCGTCAAAGCCAATATTCGGGTGGACTTCATAAACGCCGACGCTATGAAGCAAAAAGGCTGGGTGGCGGAGGCTACTCTCCTTTTCGTGCACACCAACTTTTCGGCGAAGGATATTATCGAGATAAAAACAAAGGCCGATGGCATGAAGGTATGCACCGCCGAAAGACGACGGGCTCCTGTCCGGCGATCCTCTGTACAGACGCTTCGACGTCCTAATTCGGGTGGAAAAAAACATCTCGAGATGAGGTTGTGATAACGTGTCCTGTTTGTTGGCAAGATCTAGTCGCCTGAGGTGTAGCAGGATAGTTAAAATTGCAGCTGCTCTCGACGAAGCCAAGATGGGCCAAAATGTCAGGGAGGTCAATACAGAACAGAATGTGCTCGTTGGTCTTCTTCTATGCCTTCCTGCGCTGGGCCTCTTTGCACGGTACGCTGTTCTGTGGCACTGCATGAGAGGCCAACCACTTGCTCTACTGCATGCGTGGCTCCGTTGTTGTACCCCAGATCGGCGCCATCGCTTTATCGGTCTCGCTCGCGGCAGTGAACGAGGACAAGTGGGGGTTGCTAGCCGTGGAGCAGATAAAGACTTCGTGGGGGTCTGCGAATCTCTACATACACGAAAAACTTGCAGCCTGACAGCACAACCTTCGAACAAGTTCCAGCGACGTGCTTCGGGGATTTCAGGTTTGAAATCGAATGCGGAGCCGTGCCCGTGCCCGTGCCCGTGCCCGATGCAGATAATGGATTCCATGTTTCGAGCAATGCCATGTCTGAGAGACCAACACCTTTTCATCGAAACATCCCCGTTAAGGCAAAGAGCGCCCGTGCTCCATACCCTGGAGCTTCGTGTCACGAGCTCGTCGAACACGAAAGGAAACGTGCTCGCACGCGCTCTTTTCCTCCAGCAGCCAACCACGAAAGGCATTTCCGTATTTGGTGTCGTAGCATACATGGAATACCGTGAGATGCCCCAGCCTACGTATATACGATTAGACACAAGCGAGCCCCGGGACGGAATTGCCCACATACCCCGCCTTCGTATCCTGTGGCATTCTCTCCTACAGACGGGTCAAGTCTAGTGCTACAGGGATACGGCAGCGTCGGCACAACCTTTACATGAAAGACCACGACTACAGCCTCCTGTCTACCTCAGCGATCTCCTCCTTGATGTGCTTTCGCAGTGCCGAGAGGTCTATTCCCATCTTGCGTTCATCAGCGGACGCCTTTTTTAGCTGGTTTTCAAGAAGCTGGCGGACAAACCAAATGCCAGCGAGAGCGACGGGCACAGCGGGACATAAGCTTGTTTCCAACGAGAAGCTGCGCGACAACAAGGCCAAGGCAATGGGTACGCAACACACGTTGCGGCGAGATGGCGTACCGTTCACTGCAACGGCAGTGCTCACCTTGACTCTGGCATTAACGTCAAGGGGATCAATGAAACACGTATTTACAACGTTTTGACAAACAGGTACCCAAATCAGGAGCAACGACTACAGGGCCAGGTACACCCGCGGTATCGCACTTAGCACCCTATTCTCCAACACAGTTGCGGCATACCAAGTCACAGCGCAGGGTCACTCAATGCCATACCAATATACATTCTCTGTCGGACCTGGTACTGGCAAGGGGTACGACGCGTGCAGCACGACACAGCCAGATACTGAAATACTGCAACAGTTATAGGTGTGGACAGACCTTTTTCGTCTCGAGCAAGTCCTCCCTTGTCGCCCAGGCGCCCGCGATTGACCCGCCGCTAGACATTCCCTCACTGCCCTCCCTTCTATGGACGGCGTGCTGCGCGCGCGGAGGGGAGAGGTAAAAACGCCAGCACAAGGCACACCAAACAACGAGCAACCACGAACAGACCCACCGTGGCCTAGCGAAACTGGTACAGTTATCATGTTGCAGAAACACGTGGAGAAAAAAGGGGTAATAACCGTTCCGGGCGCAATTCGAAGAGCTGACCCTTTTCCGGGTGAAGACGGTTTGCGCAACCGGTTTCCGCCGTAGCCATCGAGTTTGGCGTGCACAAGCACACATGTTTCGGATCCGTTGAAGTGGACGAAAGCAAAAGGAAAGGAGGAGTGCCACCAAAATAGCTTTCACTCTCACGCTTTGTGCCACCACCTGTTGCAACGGGCTAGCGGTACGTAGCCTTGGTTTCGTCTTTTCGAAATGTTCGCCGCACTCGTCCAGAGGCAGTTGTAGCTGCGTCGTGACCAAACAAAGAACGAGATATATATTTGTTCTGCTTATTGCTTATAATACAAGCTCACACGAATTAATACAAAATGGTTGGCGACATCAGTTCCTTGACTGATGAAGCTGAAAATAGTCTTTCAGTCGCAGCCGTCTCCACAAGCCAAAACACTCCCGGTGTACCACAACACCCCTGTCTACACCACAACGCACAAGTGTTGAAAAATAAATCCATGCCACACGCAAATGCAGCACGGCTTTGTGCAGGGGTGTCAATGAGCCATACTTGGCGCACGGGCGGGAATGCGCGTCAGGACCAGAACGCCAGGCCAAACGCAGTAAGACCAAGCACTGCTGCACACATCCAAGGCGTGCTTGCTTTTCAACAAGGTTGGTGTAACTGAGCTCTGCTGCACACTCGTGTCAGCACGCGATAACAGGCCTAAGAGATACCAGCAATGTACGCATACGTGGAAACATGACATGTTGCAAAAAGAGAAAAACACGCGAATCTGGATCAACAAACCGCCTTTCGAACGGGTCGCCGCCAAATCCACAATGTCAGCGCAGATGCCGCAAGAGTTGGATGTACGAAAGCGCTAGCGTCAACCGCAGACAAAGGCAAAAACGCGGTGAACCCGAAAGCAGCATCATATATTACATCCGCAGCGGCGTGCCGCACATCCCACATCACACCAACATAGAATCCATCGAATAAAAGTGTAATCCCAGCCGAGTGAAATCATCTCGTGCATCTACGGAGAAGCCAGCGAAAAATTCCCGGTGATTTTCCGCCGCAAAAAAATCAAGGGGGTGGATCTGCACCCCCAATGCTCTCCGCTGGTACTGCGAATTACAAGCGCGCTCATGAAAGCGAAATATCTCCGAAGCCTTTCTGTCGTGGTATGTGAGGGCTCAAGCAGCTTGATCAGTGCAAGTCTCGGCGCACTATCGCAGCCGCTCTCTGTGCAACAGCACCAAACACATTTCTCTCGCTTGACCACCGGCCTGAAACCGACTTGCGCTACCTCGTTGGATCCTTGAGATGACCACGCCGATCGGTCGGTCGGTCGGCCGGCGGGTCGAATCAGCGTACCTTAGCGGCAGCCTCGGGACTCAGGGAGGCCTCATCGCTGAGCTCTTTCTCGATGTGGTCCCGGAGGACGGCTAGGGTCAGGGGGATTTCGTCCGCGGCGGCCTTGACCACCTGCAGCAGAAGTGCACAAGGCATGTGCTGTTGTCGTTACTGATGTTGCTGATATTGGAGGTATCTTTTCGCTGACGTACGTTCACAACACGTTTTCATCTCCGTCCGGGGTTTCCCCTTTCGCCGAAATCAAGCATTGTCACCGGCATACACCGCCAAAACGGGTAGAGGCGGGAGGGAGATATTTGTTTGTCGAGTGGGACAGATCACCCACACGAAAATTGGGACATAACCCTAAGTCAAGGCGCCACAGAACTGGAAAGGAAACAGACGGTCGCATCCAGGAATTACAACATGGAAAAAATGCACCTGCGAGTGGATATGTCAGGGGCTGCAAGGAACCACTCTGTCAAGCGACGGTTACGCATGACGACACGCTCTTCCGCGACGCACCTTGACTGGAAGCCACCCCTTAACATCCATCTCGATCGCATAGTACGCCTGCGAACACACAGCGTTGTCCACCGAGCAGAATGTGGAGAGGACGGCTCAACACTCGCATGACGGACATCGAGGAACAGCAGTAGCAAGAGTCTATAGTGCCCCCCAGAAACACATTGGAGAACCCCTCTATCTTGCTAGGACATCTCGTGCGAACAAATTAAACGCCTTTACAAGACAAAAAGACGGACATACATAGTGCGAAAACTATGAGCAAGTTTTAAAGCATGGTCCCACCTCTTGCCAAGAAGGATCATCTGCCATTCTGCCACAACAGCCTACGCTGCAGCAGGATCACTAGGTGCACCTCAGTTACACCATATGGCAATACAAACACACAAACGAACCCCTCAAGTCCTTACCCGCGTGGTGATAGGGTCGACAGGCACCAGCAGCAAGACCGAGTTGACGTCTCCCCGAGTGCTGGCGTTGTTCGGAGGTACCTCATTCGCAGCGTTGGCCTAACCAATGTTGGGGAAAGCATCAAGGGTTGCACTGGTTGTGAGAGTAGAGACAGAACAGAGTATCTCGTCCGCTCCCGGCCCCAACCCTCTCACTCGCCATAGGCAAAAGCAAAATCAAGCCTAGCACGGCACCAATGCTTCGTGTATCCATCGCCGTGGGCATGAGACTAGGGCCCCTCGAATTTCCTGTAAAGCTAGGACAGAAGAAGTCGGCCCTCAGCCGACTAGCCAGAAGCACAACACCGAGGAGCGCGGTGGCGTGTGCGGTTTAGGCTCACTAAGGGTGAGCTGCATACCAAGAATCGCTTGCAAGACCACGTTTAGGCACAGCCGAACGGGGTTTTAGGTCGACGGCTTCTTTGAATGGCTTGAGTGTATTTGCGGCGTCACCACTACCGGGGACAGCTATTGACATTCTGTGTAACTTCGACACTGGCCAAGACAAACACTGACAGCTTGCCTCCGCAGAACCAGTGTCTCCGTACTTCGACCATTGATCAAGCCAACGAAGATGGACCACCGTCCATATTAAAAGAGTCGCTCCCCACGTTGGAGCGCACTTGCCGAGGTTGACTACCAAAACATCGTAGCACAATAAAGCTGGGTTTTTCGTCCAGGTTCAACGTCAAGCCACTTTTTCGGATGAACGCGGGAGCCCACCTGCACAAAAAGGGTGCTCCCGGGCTTCGCCCCGACCAGCTCCAGAGGTGCCCTGTAGGGCAAGTGAAAAAAATAACGAGGAGACACGCGTGGTGCTGCGCTCATGACATATCGTGTGAAACGAGAGCTATTGTTGTTGCAGGCCATCGTCGATGGCCACCCTTGTCTAGTCAACTGCCGGAAGCGTTCCCGTTCAGTGCATCAGCACAGGCGGTATCGCACTCCTGAAAAGCATGACTCCGCGGAGGAACTTGGAATCTCCGAGTATTTCGGAAATTGTGCAAGGTGGGCATGGGTGAACGCACTCTCAACAGCTGTGAGCGTGGGGGGGAATAGGATCGGTGCACATCAGATCTCGAAAACCTCACATCAACAACGACAGCAGCAACAAGAAAAAGTCCAAGCCCAGACGGGAACGAATAAGCAAGAAAACAATAGATTCTAAACCCACAGAGACACGTAAGCGGTTCGACAAAATAAAGTAATTTCTGTTGCAGACGAAATGTGTCGGAGACCACTACAACCTCCGGAACCACAGGAAGTATCGTCGTGCGGACAATCTCTCACTTGTGCGAGACGTAGCAAAAGTCCCTCGACGAAATCATGCCCCCCCTCTTCGGCTTTCCCTGCATATACACCAGCCTGGCGTCAGGGGCCAATGAGCGCACCAGCTGCGAGTCTGACGTGTTGACCGAGTCCCATTCCTGGAGGGACGTGTCGACAGCAGCAGGTACAGGGTGGTCGCATTGTCAATGGATCAGGATATAGCTGAACACGCCGGAAAAACGTCACCACGCTGCAAAAATGTGGCGTAACCTCAGAAAACCTACCCACTGTGGCGATTGTTCAGCCTGTCAAATACGGATCCAATGTCTGACCCACAACTAACATGGCATTCCAGCAATCAGCAGGGTCCATTCCACAAAATGGGCTGTGTTGAACGTACAAAAAACACCTACCTTCCGCCTGCCTGCCTGCCACCAGCACAGGGCCACGTCTTCGACAGGAGCTTTGATCAACGCTTGCGCAACGCGAACCACGGGCAGGCCGCCAGCGGCCTTGTGCGCTGCTTGATCCACGACATCGTACACCTGCCATTTCAGGAAAAATTGCAGACGCAAAACAATTCATAGTATTCTAGGCGAACCTTGGTTCACATCCCCACTCGATCACCCGGGGGGGGGTCAGCTCGCATAGAATGGAATATCCTTCCGTTGTGAGCGCTGATCGACACAAAGTGGACTGATAGCAGAGTCATCGTGTCGATCTGCTAAGAGGTTCGTGGGTGGTAAGATACATTGCAAAACCAACGCCACACTCTAGCAGGAAATCTACATCCCAACCGTACACCCGCCATAAGCTTGTGGTTTCCCTCTGGGTTACTTAGGGAACACCTGTGCTGTTAAATGCAGCCTTACCTTGACACCGAGTTTATCGGCACGTAGGGTTATCTTGTCTGAATCTTCGATATTCTGCACGTACGCCCCGAGCCTTTGAGCCACTCCCTGGCACGAGGATGTTTTGACAGAGTCATCAACGATCAGTGAATAAACATGAGCCCTTGGGCTGTAAGCGTGCCAGTCCAACAGAGCTCACCACAGCTGCGGAGCACCTCATGCCAAAATACGAACATCGGAATCATCTTTGAGGTGCTTGTCTTGACATGACAATCTCACGCCGTTGTGTAGGTGTACACCTACACAACAACCTGGCGTTGTCCTTTGTACAGAGAACCAGCCGACTTGGCAGCGGTGGGATTGGGGCGGGGATAGAGCAAAGTACGTTGATTCGACACACATCCCAAAGCTTCAAATTTCAAATTTCCAAGTGAAAAAAGGTTGTACGATGTCTGCCAAGCCGAACGCAGCAGTGATCACAAAACTATGATCGCTCGTTCTCTGTTGTAGGTACCTTCATCCCGGACTGCGGGGCATTTGGTGCCTGGCAAAGAGCCCCCTGGTCTCGCTCGCTCTTGTCAAGGTAAGTGTTGCTCAGCATGCACGCACTTGCACCCCCGGCGACGGCTGAGGAGAACAGAGAAAGCAGGAACGGCGGCACACATGTTGGCATCTACATTAGTCCCAAAAGAGAGGCGGATACAGCAGTAGCGGTACCTTTTGCGATAAATGCGATTGCATGCCGTACTATTGTACCACACTTGCATATATGCACGCGATACACGTGAGTTGCAAAAGTTGTTACAACGCCACTCAGCACTCAGCACGGATTTAACCTACACATTCACATCATGACCGCTTCGTTGTTGAACGTCCACGCATGCTGCAGTCGATGTACACGTGCCCCGCCAGAGGTATGCATATGTATGTGTAGGCGGGTTATTACATGCGTCGAGTCGGAGACAGGTCGATTCAGGCGTAGGAAGCGCACGTCGATGAAGCTCAAATAAAAGACGGATATCGCCCCAAAGGGATGTATCAACGTAGTCGACGTCCTTGCAAACCCAAACCTTATTTGCTACCGTGCTATGTTACCCACCGGCTCGCCAACCTCAACCTTCAACTGCAAGAGTAACATCCGTCCGCGAATGGCCTACCCTTCGGAGGATATCGCGGTTGGTCATAAATCATAACGAGAGATGCTAATCAGCCTCCACCGTGGCGACAACACGCTAAACACCTTCACTGCGGCCTTTGTTTTCAGGTGGCCAAGGTCTGTGGGGGTGTTGCACCCGAGTGGATAGCAGCTGTAGGAAAAAGGGTGATCAAACCGCCCGGGTCAGTCTGGCAGTCGGTTGGTTCCATTTCCATAGTTGGGGTGCAAAGATCTTACCCTACCACTCACCGAGAGCAACGGCAGGACGCCGAGCGACTTGTGCGAGTCCAAACATCTTCCTGGGCGATGCTTTGTTGCGTCGGAAAAATAGGACGGGAAGCCTGGGCGGGGAGAGAGGATGAGCGAGAGAACACTCAGCAAACCGCGCAAGACAAAATTCCGCCAAACAGCAAACTGAACCCGCACCGCTTTCTTCAGGCCCGGGGGGTACGGTATTTATTCGGGCATACCCGGGACGGACCAAGAAAATGCCAGTTTAATGGGGAGGGGGGGTACCTCGGACACGAGCACGCGTCTCGTGTGATGCTCGTTGGTAACACCTGATCTGTGCCAACCACAAGGGGGAGAGGGAGGCTGAGAGAACGTTGCATCCATCGTACATCGCCTAGTCTGTCTGGATCAGCCGCTGCAAGATGTCGGGACTTGCATTGATGGGAGATCGGACCATGGGCCAGGTGAGCCGCCAAACCCATTCGAAAAATCAAAATCAGATCCGCGGCAGGGATACGCGGCAGTATAGCCAAGGACGAGATGCCAATGCCTGAGGCCCCAACTCGATGCAAGTAAATGGTCCATCGCGGTAGGTGGTATTATGCAAGAGACGTATGGTGATTGGGAGGGATACCTTGGTGCTCACAAAGTTGACCTTTGGTTCGTATTCTTCCAATGCAAGGCTATAGCTGGCAGACAACCGGTGTGCTGGTGGAGAAGGCTGTGAGGCCGCTGATCCCTCACCCTTCTCTCCCTTTGTTGGACAACGAGCGCACGTATGTAGGTGACGATGGGCGACGCGTTGCTGCTGCTCAACGGTTGTGTGCGTGGTCCCTGCAAACTTTTGGAATGGATACTCATCAAGACGTTGCCCGAAGGCTTGCTGTGTCGCAAAATCAAATTCCCTCACCGTCCGCCGTTTCCCAGGGCTTCTTCCCATCCAAAAGTAGAGTCGTGGTACAGACACAGCAGACCGTACGTGAGCACCTTTGCCTTTTCTCGATGCCAACGGTGACCTTATGCTTCTCTTTTGGTGCATCAGGACGTCCGAACACAAAACGTAACCGCGGCAACAGCGATCGCCAACATCGTCAAGTCCTCGCTCGGCCCGGTTGGTTTGGACAAGATGCTCGTGGATGAGGCAAGTGTTTTTTTCAAGTGTTCTCTCTTGTCCCCCGCCACGCCGCGGGAAGGAGGATGGTGTTACAGTAGGTCATGGTGGCAGTCATATCGCCATGACAGCCATACCGGCAGTGGACAAATTGGCTTCATTTGTGCGATGCACGGCCCGTGTGGAAGTTGCCAGAGTTGCGAACAAAAAAAATGTTTACGGGGATCCCCGCACATTTTGCTCACTACGGAAGATACCACCCACACTTGGAATTGGATATCCAGCAGTGACACATAGATCCGCAACAAACGGAATCGCAACCACCCAACGGTGAGTTGCACTGAGGACCCACGACACGTGCAACGTTCCCTTGGCGCGTTCATGATGACATAATAGTAACCACCCCGTTGGCCTGTTGGCAACCTTGATGCTGTTTGATGGTTGATGCAGGTGGGAGACGTGACCATCACCAACGACGGGGCGACCATCCTGAAGCAGCTTGACGTCGAGCACCCCGCTGCCAAGGTGCTCGTCGAGCTGGCAGATCTGCAAGACCAGGAGGTAATTCTAGATTAAATCTTATGCCCCACTAGGAACCAACCTATGAATGATTTGTTCACGAACAAAGATAGCAGTGGTATATGGATCTGGTGTCAGCGTTTCAAATTACCACACCTTTGCGAAGCGAATGTGCTGCTGCCGACATACACTTCAATATTTTCCCCCAGCGATACATCGTTTCATCGTCTCAATTTTTTTTCGGGGGAATCGCTCGTCATGCGGGTTATCTCACGACACCTGGTAGATGCTTACGGTGGAGCAAAAAGGCCGAACACTTGGATGGTAAACATGTAAGGAACCTATCGAATAGCACTGATCTCACAACCGTAATGGTACCACGACAAACCTCTTTCCGTTGCCAAACTCGACTCTTTTTCCTGGGACTCTCTCTCTTCTTTCTCGAAAGGTGGGTGACGGCACGACCTCCGTGGTGATCGTGGCGGCGGAGCTGTTGAAGAGGGCCAACGAGCTCATCAAGAACAACATCCACCCTACCACGGTGATGGCCGGCTACCGGCTAGCCCTGAAGGAGGCCGTCAAGTATATCAAGGCTAACCTGTGCGTGCCTGTGGACAAGCTGGGCAGGTAAGGCGCGGCCGCGGTGCGACTTTGGCATTGTGCGTCGTGCACTTGTAAGCGTCGGGGTACTGCCGGAAGCCACGCTTGCCGACGAATCTTTCTCGAGTTCCTTGAACCGCAAATAGCAGAGGTTTCGCCTAACCAAAGCGTGTATCGCTAGAAGCCCAACCTCTGACGGAAAAACTCGCAGATTTTTATTGGTATAGAGAGATCCATCGGCAGCGGCGTCAGCGTGAGGTTTCCTGACTTTTCCCGCGTTGACTTGCAGCCCCGAATCATCTGACAGACAGGTACATAAGTATTGTGTCTGGAAATGATATTAGCGTTAGTCCACGGCGTGATCACGGTGGCATGGTCACGGAGAGAAGGGACTTTTCATCCTCCTCGGCTACAGGAACAAAATCCAGCACTTGACGAACGCGCACACGCGCATACCGCATGCGCGGGCCAGTAGCAGCAAAGCAGCGAGTTCAAACCTCCGTGTACGGAAATATGTTCCCTCGCCGCGCACGTTTCAGGCCAAACCTGATCAACGCGGCCAAGACGGCCATGAGCTCCAAGATTCTCGGGCCGGAGAGCGATTTCTTCGCGGAGATGGCGGTGGACGCGGTCACCGCGGTCAGGACAGAGTCGGGCGGAGACCTGGGCAAGAAGGCAAGAAACATGGCAATGCTTTCGAGACATACTTCATCAAATAGTGGGGAACACTAAATTCGGTCTCGTTGGCGTGTGGCATACCGCATCCCTAAAGGTGTCGCTAAAGGTTCCGGTTGCTCTTGTAGTTGGTTGTCGATAGCCTACTGCTATTTTGTGGTTCCTCTGGCACATCGTTAGGGTGCTCGGTCGTGTCCTCGACACGTCTAGAACGGTCAAAATGGCCTTGCCCCATCTTACCATCAAGTTCATACGTGCACTAACGATTCCCGTGTCGACATTGGCGTCGTCAGGTTGTCAAGTACCCGGTCTCCGCGGTGCACATCCTCAAGTGCCACGGGCTGAGCCTGCTCGACTCCAAGGTGGAGCCCGGCTACGCGCTCAACTGCGTTAGGGCTTCGCAGGGCATGCCGACCTCGGTACAGAACGCCAAGATCGCCTGCCTGGACATCAACCTGCAGCGATACAAGATGCAGATGGGAGTCCAGGTACAAACGTTGCTCGTGTCGCACCTTGTGGTTGTGTTGTTTTTTGCTATGCATCGGCGAACTTGTTCCCCTTGTCTGTTTAGCACGGATGGCGTACGTTTCCTTGGCACCGCTGGTGGCCTGAAATGGGTTGTATCATACCCCTGAAGATGTATTTTTTGGCGCTGAAGAATTTGATGCGTGGTGTGTGCAACAAGAAGGATGGGGTTCTCAAGAGCCATTGCGTTTGAGAGTCTTGAAACCAACGACCGCAGCCACGCCTCAAGAGTCCTCTGCCTTCCCCTCACCTCGCGACCCTCTCGCGGTGTAACCGTCATGGTATTCCTATGTACCTGTCGACCCAAAGGTGGTGGTGAACGACGTGAAGGAGGTGGACGCTATCCGACAGCGGGAGATGGACATCACCAAGGAGCGGATTGAGAAGATCCTCAGCTCCGGGGCTACGGTAGTGCTCACGACCAAGGGCATTGACGACCTCTGCCTCAAATACTTCGTAGAGGCGGGGGCCATGGCCGTACGGTAAGCAGGTGTATTGTGCCTTTTTTCCCAAAAAAAATTGGGGTGTTTTTTTTTGTGCAGCAATGTTTCATCACTTTTGCGAACGAAACGGCCATGGTTTTCGTCGATCGTATCTTCGAAGTCTACAGTATCAGTGGTTGTACTTCAAGGAAGGTTGGAAGTTTAATTGGAAGATTTCAACTATTTTTTAGAAGCGGAGCAACGGCAGCGAGGCAAAACGTGCGCTTTTTCTGCTTCCTGGACTCTTTGGCATGGCAGGGTCTCTTATTCCATGTATGTTGCGCAACGTTTTTTGGAAGCAGATTCGTGACGGCAGCCAGGTGGTCTTTCCATCCGCGAACTTGTTTGCTCTTTGTGTACCATTTTCTAGCATAGAGCGTTGGGTTTATGTTCTGTAGGTTGTTTTCGGCAGTCAAGTAGCCTGTACAAACGTCGTTCGTAGGTAACGGCAGGGTGTCTGTTCCAATGATTGTTTGTCTCGTTGTTGAAGAAATTTTCGTATGGCTCGTGTAATCTGTGCGGTACCTGTTGGGGAAATTTCTTCTGGTTTCACTCTACTGGTTACATCGACTCGATGATATACCGTTACAAATGTCTCAATATGGACCCACGGGGGTGCTGTACCCTCTCACCACCCACCCGTCTTGGCGCTCGCTGGCACCGCTCCTTTTCTTCCTCTTCAACCTTTGGACCACAGGCGCGTAAAAAAGGAAGACATGCGGCGCATCGCCAAGGCCACGGGCGCGAGCATCGTGACGACCTTGGCGGACATGGAAGGGAATGAGACTTTCGATCCGGAGGTGCTGGGGCAGGCGGACGAGGTGAGTTGATGCCATTTCAATGTGTCGACATGCTTTTGTAGAAAATGTGCACGAACACTACCCGTTCGAGATAATACCATAGTCGAAAGGGATGTGTTGAAAGTCTTTTTAGTGAGTGGGAATGATTTCCTCCGAAATCATCCGCTGTCATGAAGTAGAGACAGGTTGCAGACCAACGGTTTTTCTTGCTGTTTTGGAAACCGAAGGGTGGCGGAGGTGATACGGTTGCGTACTCTGTTGGGCTCCCGCCGGGCCATGCCTCCCTCCGACCCTAAACCGTCATCACCACCGCTGACGCTAGCGATCCATGTGCGGCATGACCTACCAACAGACCTAGGAGACGATGCACAATGCGATCAATCATGTGCGGATGTTTGTGAAGATGAAAATCCCCGGTACAACCGACGAGGATACCATCGATGGAATTTTTCGATGTGGATCAACACCGCGATCCAGGACGATCACCGATACAACGCACAGTATATTTTTCATGTATGGGTACGCGTTACGTAAGATTTTAAGTTGCCGTGAAACTTCCGATCTCAAGACAATATTCGTGATAGCATGAATCGGTTTACGATATCCGTTTCTCTTTTACGATTTTACGATACACCACACGAAGCGGCAAACGGTACGAGGCACCAGCACAACATACCCTGCGGAACGCATCACCTGGCATTTTTTTGTTGCCGCTTAGATTGCGCCCCAAGGCAAGGAACACTCTAAGATCGCGCAGTAGGAAAACGCAAGTTTCCACATACAAAGAAAATCACACTTTTTGATACCTTCGTGATACCTTTACTCAAGCACTCATCCGGAATCCCCGAAGTCTATCTGACGCACACATGGGATACATGATTGGCGTGTTGTTGAAATGAAGGTTTCGGAGCAACGCGTCGGCGATGGCGAGTTGATTTTCTTCAAGGGCACCAAGACACAGGCGTCCTGCACCGTCGTGCTCCGAGGGGCTAACGACTTCATGCTCGATGAGATGGACAGGTAATGAGAGCTGAAGCCAGAGACGGAACATGCTGTTGCACGTGGCGTGCCAAGACTAGTGAAACAACGAGACGAAGGTTCACGTATACACCGCTTGTGATGCGAACAAGGCCAACACACTGGCTAGTTCACAATTATGTAGAAGAAAAACTTGAAAAGTGTGTGAAGAACTAGTGGCCAACACGGTCTTCTTGGAAAGGGATACACTACGGCATGCCAAGCTTTCGGCTAGATCATGGCAAACAAGCCAAGAGTGTCCCGGAACATGACTGCTAGGGTTTGGGGAGGAGCCAACGCTGCCGCCCCTAGAAAGAGGTGCAGACAAGTACTTAAATACGTATTATAGCGGGAACCAACAGATCATCACGCCCCCCACCTTTTTTGTGATGCACTTTTGCACCAGGGCGTTGCACGACTCTCTGATGGTCATCAAGAGAATGCTGGAGAGCAACGTGCTGGTTGCCGGTGGGGGGTCCGTGGAGACGGCGCTGTCTATCTATCTCGAGAGCTTCGCGACCACCCTGGGCTCCCGCGAGCAGCTGGCCATCGCAGAGTTCGCGGAGGCTCTACTCGTCATCCCTAAGACCCTGGCCGTCAACGCCGCGCAGGTAATATTAATATTTCGGGCTGAAAGCTGTTCTTGTCCATAATCTTGCACCAATTCCTTCCAGGTTTGTTTACCCTTGGGCACGGCGGTGGGCATTACGATGGTCTGTTTCGATGTGTTCGCCTACACACACAACGTTCACTTCCGTGTCTATTTCCCCCATTAAATTGCCGTAATGATATTATTGGGGCGACGAGAGCCTCTTCGGGGGCAACGCAGAATCCGGGGGCAGTACTGTGTCTGGCTGTTGTTTGTTGCCAATTTGCGGTGGATGTCCTCTTAAATGTCACCGCTTTCTCCCCCGGATCCTGAGGGACCCATGATGATGCTGCAGACTTATCGTTGTTCTCTGTTTTTTTCCCTCAACCGTTGAAAGCGATGTGCTGCAACGATGTATTTGATGGCCTCATCGGGTGTGGTGCGACTTGCGATCTTGATTCGATGTTGCTGTACAAGAAGCTTCGGTGTGATGCAGACATCATCATCTGATGCGATTGGATGCGATGTTCTTCTTGGCGTTGTTTGAGCAGGACGCGACCGAACTCGTGGCGAAGTTGAGGGCGTACCACAACACGTCGCAGCTGCAGGAGGACAAGGTGTGAGAAGTATATATGCATCACCGTTTGGCATGTGCATTTTACTTGTTTTATTCTACACTCTCCTTTTTCCGTCGGGACATCGGTATCAGGTTCTATCGGACGGCCGTACCGTCTTGTCTCTCTGGCTTAAGACGTCCGATCCGGGGCAAACCCGAAATGCATTGTTATGTTTTTTTTATTTTTTGCTTATCCCCTGTTTTGGCGTTGATTTGAAAACCGAGCGACCAGTGTTGGCTGGACCCCAACAATGCTTGTTTAGTGTCGTTTTCCGGGGGATTGTTCCGCCAGTCTGTTTCTTAAATCAATCGTGTCGCGCGATGTTCAAGTCAATAACTGCGTCAAGATTCGATCGTGCTGTACCCCTCGAAATATGTATTTGGCGCTATACGAAAACCCGTTGCCAGTCGTCGCCTCCGTGTCTTCCTGACTATTAGCTGCAGACTGCGGGGCGGTTGATATTTTTGCGTAGTTTTTGGTTGCGCGAAAGAGGCAGGTCGGACGCTCACAGAGGCCACGAGGTGCCGCTCTAGTACGCATGCTTGAATAACGCTGAGCTCATCCCTCTCCATCCTCCAACTTGTACGGCGAATGAACGCGCACTAGACGGAGTACCGGCACTACGGGCTGGAGCTTGTGGAGGGGAAGGTGCGCGATAACCTCGCGTGCGGGGTGGTGGAGCCTGCCATCAGCAAGATCAAGTCGTTCCGGTTCGCCACCGAGGCGGCCATCACCATCTTGCGTATTGGTAAGCGTCCCCATGTTTGTTTTGTCTGTTCGCATGTGCCACGATTTTCTGTGTACTGTATAGGACTCGGACGCGATATGGTTGCTGATGCGCTTCCAAGGGCACGGGTGGCGTTCTAGAAACGCCAGGATGTGCGCGGGAACCGACACCATGTAGCTGTACAACAGCAGACGCATCTACTCTATCGAGTGTGCGTCAATTGTCTTTCGGTGTGTGTATACGATCCCGGCCGCTGTCATGCACGCGGCATGGAAGATGTAAGAAAAACGGCAATCGCTCCGTCCAGGCATTGTAGGTCTACCGACTACCGCATGTGTTTATATGAGTACGCCCCCCACCCCCGCCCCCCCGTTACGCATTTCCAGACGACATGATCAAGCTGGACAAGCAGGAACAGGAAGACCCGCGGGCAAGGCGCGGCGGGGGAATGGGCGGCATGCCCGGGATGTAAACGGGGGTTGGGTAGCGGGACAGCGTTAACGCGTTTTTTGAAGGTAGTTTTATGGTGGGAAACATTTCTAGTCGACAGGGTTATGGTGTGTGACGATCTGGCCGTTGCGTGGGTGGTAGAAACCTCGACTGAGAGGCCGAGGTGTTTGTGGTCTCGGGGGGGCGTCGTACTTGCTATCTTCCTACGGGTCTGGTATTTTGCTGCTTTTCTGCACCGCGTGTGAACCTCATAACAGCGGGATGTCCTTGCTCCACAGGAGTTTGGGCACGTTTCTGACACGGGAAGATTTGAGAGATACGCTCCACGGATTCATGGATGTCGTATTTTGGACAGATATCGTTGGCAAAAGGCAAGTACGTCTGGTCCGGTGTACTCGTGTTCGCAGAGAATGTTCACGTGAGAAGGCGTTGAAAAGTACGAGATTGTCTCCGTCACAACCAGCAGATGATGGCTTTTACATGATTGCCAAGCGTAACCCCTCTGAAGAAAAAGACCTGGTGCTTGTTTTCGGCCAAGTCAAGCTCACAAAGGCGGCAAACATCTAAGGCAAGCGTTCAAGCATATGCAGTGCGCTGCGACAAACGACAAAAATCGGACTGCCTCCCCGATTGTATTATTTTCCAACACTGCAGAGGCTATCGGGCACAAAAACCAACCATTATTTGTAGGGTGGCTTACACGCGGTTCACGAGCAAAATGCATTTGTTTCGTGCCTGGAAAATTACTTCAAACATCTACAAAATGTGCAACAATGACTGCTGTGTGCTCTCGTCCAAGCAATGAAATCAGGACATCGAACATCATTGACTGTGGGTATATCTCGAATGGGTAGTCTTTCTGTGTGTTTTTTATTATTCGTTAATCATTGTCTGTGCTCTGACGAGATCATTTGGCGTCGTCAAAACAGAGGACGGGGGGGCTGTTGACTGCATCTTCGGAGATTTCACGGTTCGTTCTGTAGAGTTCCGCCGCACGTGAGACGTGAGGCGACGTTTCCCACATGCTACCTCCTGCTGGCCTCCTGCCTCGCTGCGTCGCGCACACATACGCCCAGGCCGGTGGGAAGGATACACACAGCTTCCCACTGGTCAGCAGGTCGCAAGATTGTGTGTGAAACGGTTTCAACTTTCATCGCAAACACCTTCAACTGACGAGTGTTGCGGCCACCATGAGAAACAACAACTTGGGGGAAGTTGCGGGGCAGGTACCGCTGTGCACGCTGGCGTTCGCCACGCTGTGCATCATACTCCAGGTCTGTGCTCTACCCTCCAATGGTTTATTTCTTTGGTCCTTTTCCGTTGCTGCGTAATAGGTCCTTGGCCCCTGACCGTCGCTCCGTAAGAGAAGCAGGCCTTAAATTTTCGTTCGGTTTTTCTCAGTTTTTCTCAACAGCAAACCACGGACGGTGTGACACAGTCTCGAGGAGCGGGTTTTGACGGGAAGTTGCTTATGCAAGCTTACGGGCCAGTTTCGGCGGGGTCAAACAAACACCCCCAACTTGTAGAAGTCAGCTAAATCAGTCAAGTACTCTGCTGCTGTCGCAACATGTACTGCTGTGTCGTCATACAACTCCTCCTGTATACCACATTGGAACACCGCACAGGTTTCAAGCAATCGTTGCCTGTCTGTCACACATTCCTTCCCGCCGTCTCGGTCGTGTGCCTCACCTCTCCCGTTCACGTTTTGCAGGGGTGCGTCTTTGTGTTCAACACGAACATCGGAAACTACGTTCTGATTCCATCGCGGATAATATACTTGGGAGAGGTGCGACGCGCATATTTGTCACCACAAGTTTCAGAGTACAAGTTGCATTCCTCAGGCCTGTCCTGAAGTCTCGACTCAAAGTCCCAGAAATGACCACATTGGCTACCGCTTCAGCCGAAATCGCCGCTGGCATCTTCCCTTTGAGGAGGACGCTCCATGTGCGAACTTAAAATTCCGATGCTGTGTATACCACATTCTAAACGTGCTTCGGTTCAATGTTGAACGCATGGGGGATGACTGTGGTTGAATATGCAGGCTTGCGACACCTAATCGGAGGCAAACCATGCCCCACGGCAAAATGTTTTCGTGTCTCTTTGCAGTACTACAGGGTGATTACGGGGGCATTGCTCCATGGCGGGCTGATGCACATCGTCTTCAACATGATGTCCTTCCTTTCCATCGGATCCAGCCTGGTAGGTGCTCCCAATGAAGGCGCACGTATGCATGTGAAGTCGTTTCTTCATTTTTCACGAAGAAGCACAGGTCGTGAGGGCGAGGTGTTCCGTGTAGGTGAAGCTTGACCTGCGTGTCTAGAAATAAAAGTGCGCAATGCGGCATACAGAGACTACGGCCGTGCGCAACCTGGCGTTGAAGGGAAAGTAGTGCATGTCCTTCTAGCTAATAGCCTGTTGTCGTGAACCCTTGTGCGATACTTTGTGCCCTTCTTGTAGGTATGAAAGTGTTTTTGGCGTGCTCTCTTGTTTCTCCTCTGCCACCTCTCACTCGCAATCCGTTGTACCTGACGCCTTGTTTTGGCCTCCTTCCTCTGACGTTCCGCGTACCGCGGTGGTTTTCATTTCAGGAGGTGGCCTTCGGGACTCTGTCGCTATTGTTCACCATCTTGTGGTCCATGATCTTGGCTGGTGTGGTTCATTGCGGAGCAGAATGGTGAGTGTTTTGTCCCTCTTTACGTGCCTTCTGCTGTAACCTAGCGGCGGTACGCTGCGATGGCATCACGCAGCCGTGTTTTGGTCTACGCCCGAGTATTTCGAACAGTAGCGCCCCTAGCAAACCGATGCCTGTATTTTCGAGTAGTTGCGCTCTTTCAACGCTTCTGCTTTGTAATAACGTCCAAGCTGTAGCGTCATCCTGACCTTGTTGTTTGGCCTCGGCTCGAAAGATGCAAGACGGTACTGTAGAACCCATGGTCTAGTGTCAGTGCTTGCTTTCGCCCATCCCGCCGAGGTGACAAAAAGAATGCCGCTCTCACCCCGAAGATTCCGCTTGAGTTCTACTGGTTTGCCTGCAATTGGTTACGCGGCTAGCAAAAAACTTGGAAAAAACGCCCATTGCGCACATTCCGGGGGTATCGCGCGCCTGTTCATGATGGAAAGACGGCCTCGAACTCTCATGTGTGTCGCTTTGCTCCTCCCTCTCGGTGTCTGCCTGCCCCTCTGTAGGGTGATGACTGTGTGGGTTACGCACGACCCAACGTATGTCAACCAGCCCTCCGTTGGCTTCAGCGGGGTGATATTTACGCTGGCTCTCATGGAGAGCTACCGGTCGACGCAGCCCACGCGCTCGGTGTTTGGCATGATGCGAGTGCCCACGCGGATGTACCCTTGGGTTCTCCTGGTGCTGTTGTCGGTGAGACCCCAAAAGAGACCGTAAGGGTAGGAAGTAAAGCCTGGAAGAGGATATACTGCGCGTCAAGAATACTGCTCTCGGTGTTTGGCATGGCATCCTGACGAGAGATCTGCGCGGCGTCCCGAGTACCCGTGGTTCCTGCTGCTGATGTAGCTGTCGGCGGGACGCTAACCAGATGCAGTAATCCCTATGTGTTTATTTTGCCGGTTGTATCAACATTCGAGTGCTGTTGGCGTTTTCGATTTGTTGCCGTATTCCTGCAATCATGGTCCTCGCCCTCATTTCCCACGCGAACGGCAGGTCTTCATGCGGGACATCTCCTTCGTGGGCCACCTTTCCGGCATCCTGGTCGGCGTGATGCACGTTTATGGGCTAACGAAGCCTCTCATGCCGTCTCCAGGTGACGCTTGCTTCTTAACGTGTTGAACTTGCATTGTGCGTCCGTTGACACAACAATGCTCGTTTGGAGTGGCGGGCTATTGAGTCTTACGGAGGACAGTCGGCTCGACCGCCACTAACCGCCAACGCTCCGTCCATGTGTCGGTTCCTCATCCCCGCAGCCTTCTATATCGAGATGGAGAGCTACTGGTGGGTACGAGATAGCATCGGGCTGAGGCATAACTTCGTCCCCTACCCACCTCCGGCGCTGCCAACCACAGCCGATGAGCAAGAACAACCTGGGCCAAGGTAACGTGTCGTTCGGTGTCCGCTTGTGCTGTCTCCGTTCGCAGTGAATTTGTTGGGTTGCAGACACCTCGGACGGAAGGGTTTGGCCACCGAGCAATAACCCGTGTTGACAATCACCGCCAACGTAGCCTTGTTCAGGAAGCATTCTGTACCTGATCCAGGGGGTGGGTTGTTTTGTGATGAAAACGTAGCCTGCGCCCCCGCAACCCGACGCAAGGCTTCACGATCGTGGGGAAAGTATAGAGCGCGTTGATCACCCAATGAACCTTGACACCAGCAGTCCGTCTGTGAACGTGAGTACAACCAACTCGAGAATAACATCAGCAACGGTGGCAAAATCTTGACAACGAATTTCCTGCATTCGTGCTTCTCCGCCCCCCTCCTCAGTATAAGAGATTCGTGGCAAAGCTGTTGCGATTCCATCGGGGCGTGCCGACGGTCGCTCGGCAACGTGGCTGCCCGTTTTGGCGCCAGCAGTGCGCACGGGCAAAATGCCAACGGTAGAAATAGTAATACCGCCGGCTCCGTTGGGGCCGATTCACGGGGGGAAACGGAGACCAGAGGAAGGCTGCTGCCATGGGGGGTTTAGACTAGCGACGACGGGCGGGGGAGGGGTATCCTTGAGAAATGTCCGGGGGCAACACCACAGCCTTGCGAAACAACTTGACGCTAGAGCATCTCACGCGTGGCCGCAAGTGGATCCACGTAATGGGTATTAGGGGTGATGGCCGCGGTTCAACGGCGTGAGCTACATGAGCGGGAAGACTCGCTCACATTTCAGTTGCGCGGGATAGATAAATTGTGCTGGACGCGATGAGACGCTTTCTTTGGCGTCTACAGCCGCACCCAGTAGCCTACGATGTATGCTTAGGAAGAAAATAACGTGCAGGGCCGGTTCTACCGCGACGCGTCTACTCGGAACATGTCCTGGCTTGCTCTGGGTCTGCTTGAGAAGCGGCAGCTTATGATGACATCACCCAAAGTTGACACCCTCGGCACGCCGACTTCGTACGTTGAGTTGAGATTAGATCCATCAGATCTGAGATTTACGTTCCTGGAAATCCGAGGCTAATGATATCTACAGCCCGCTCTTCGGGCAGCGACCGAACATGACCCAACCAACGAGCGAGTTCAGATGACAACCGTGGTGGTCCATCTTCGCGGCAAGCGTCACTCTGCACACTCGATACCGTGACACAAACATCAAATCGTATCTTTACAGCAGTCCTTGCCAACCCAACATATATCTACTTCCAAACAACAGTTGTTTCCGCGATCTATAACATGCTGTCCAAGACTAGGAGCACCGAATATGCCTTTAGTGAGGACATCGCAGGTCCAAGCCTGTTTAGCACTTGATGGCTCCAATCAGTACAGGTCATGGTAGATCATGCACTTCTTCATTTCTTGGAAGATGACCAAAGCTTCCTTCTCCAGCTGCTCTTCTATGAGGTCTCGGTCCGCCTGCCGCTTCCGGCCTGCTTCAGCAGCGTTTCCCACCGCCGCAACGTTTCCCTCCTTTCCAGCGGCCGGATTTTGTTTCTTTCCTGCCTTCCCCTCCGCCGACCCAGTGCCGGCACGCGTACCGTCTTGTGTACTTGTTCGTTCCACCGAGGTTGCACTTGCGTCCGCCGTCTCGCTGGTACTTCCGCGGGTTTCTCGTATAGTGCCTGCCTCTCCCTCGGAAATTCCGTCTCCCTCGTCATCTGCTTCTTGCTCTGTTTCGTACGTTTTGAGGTACTCGTCCCGACGTTTGCTCGTTGCTACAAACCTGTGTTTTACCGTAAAAAAACGCCGGGAGAAGTAAAACAGCGTGTTGCTCTCTACTGTTGTAGTCGTTCTATACTAGGACATCGTATGGCCATCTACCTGAGCGCTCTTGCAAAGTGCAAGAGTCCCGTGCCCAGCAGAAAACATGTTGACCTGGTGCTAGCCGTACGCGGCGTATCATATTGAGCCTCTGGCGGCTAAGTAGCTTGCTCAAGAACATGATAGCCTTTAAGCGAACTCGCCGCTGTCGTATCTGCAGGGCATGCGCCAATCGGAGCGATGGGCCTTGAACACTAACGAGGCCTTACGAGGAGACGCTCGGATTCTGGGATACGGTCGTCGGGGTGCCTTACCTTTCGAAAATTCCCTTGCACGGGCTGACGGAGAAAAACGCGCAGATGGAACAGTCCGAAGGTTCCCAATCTTCCTCTCTTTTCTGCCCTCCCTCCAAGGTATCTCGGCAAACATTGGACGCGCCGTCGACCCAATCGGCGCGGCAAATAGTGCCGTAGACAGTTATGGGTTCCTTAAGCCTTACGTACGCTCCTGGTTCACTTGGGAATCGACGGTCGTGGGCCAACATGGGTGGAAGTGTGCCCTCCCACATTTCCTGATCAATCGGACACGGTTGGGACGGCGAAAGTATGATGGATGAGGAGTAAGTTGAGGCCCGACCTCAATTGAAAAACGCATGATAACAACGAAGGAGAAAATGCAAGCAGTTCGCAAACAGGCACGCATGCAGAGACGGAAAGGAAAGGAGTAAACACCAAACACACCGCGGAAACCAAGCTGCTGCCAACGCATGAACCATCTACCCTATCGAACAGATAGTACACTCCTCCCCTCGCACCTACCCATGTACCACACCATACCTCCTTTGTCGCCCCGGCCTTCTTGGCCTGTTCAATCAGTACGGCGCTGGCCAGGGGTCCCGGACCATCGTTTTCCGCCACCGCTGATGCTTCAGGGTCTGTGATGGCAGGAGGCGAGATATCGATCGTCGCCGATAGAGACGCCGGTTCGACAATCTTTCCAGCGTGAGATACGGAGGCAACCAGAGCGCGCCGCGCAAAGCTTGAGGCGTCCCCCGTCACCTGTCACGGGGAGAACCAAAGCGAGCGTTGTCGAACGCAAAAAGAGCTTCGCTACAACATAGTTCGACGGCTCGGCAGTTTCATCAAGGATGCCGTGTACTCATACCGCGTTGTGTCGAGAGAAAGCATAGGGCACCAGCAGTTCTTCGTTTTTCGACAGCATTCCAGCATCCTTCGGGGACGGCTGACGTCCCCCTCTATGCTAACGAGGGTTACCCAAGTCACTGAACATGCTACGGGATGCACAAGGCTACTAACATAGTCCCGACGCCACAAAGGAACACACCAAAATTTCTGCTCCTTCCAAACGACACCCTCACAACGCACCCAGCTCACAGTCAGCACGTAACTAAACTCGATGAGACTCTCCTCACCGTGACTTCGGCCTTGCCGCTGAACAGGTGCCTGTACATTTCCCGCTCGGACGCCGAAGGGCCGTACTGAAGAACGACCTTCCTCAACTGCCCGTCACGGGCTTCAGGGAAATGGGCTTTCAACTTATCCACCGAGGTATCGTCCAGATATACCGCTACCATTGGCCCGATGGGTGGTGGAAACACAGCCTGCTTCTTTCCGCTCTCGCCGCCCCCAGCAGACGCGGACTTCCCCTGCTCGCCATCTTGTTTCGGCTGCTGAGATGCTTGAGGATCTATGCTGATGGGTTCTGCCTCTGTTTGTCTAGTGAACGATATCGCCGAGGGAGGGATCTCGAGGGTTATGTAACGCATGAGAGCAGCACTGGTACATGTGTGGTACAGAACAGGGTTCTGAGTACGACCCGAGAAGCTGAAAAGTGGGCTGGTCGGGATAAAACAAGTTGTGCCGCCTAGTGCCTTAAAACACGTTATTCCCTGACGGGGCGTTGTATACTACCATACGTGACAAGATTCTGCTGTCGCGAAGGAATCTTGTCTGGGATTCGTGGTTTTGAAATGTGGATACTGCGAGCAATCAACAGTATTTTTTTGTTATCTCCTTGCCATACGCTGAGCCAATACCATGATTACCGTGGTGGCGGGATACCGTGCGGGGAGCACCGTGTGGTGTGGCCAGATACCACCCAAAAATTACCGTGCCGTTTTGCTGTTGTAGATCATATACCAAACGCTGCCTGAATAAATCAACCCTCGATCTCTTGCAAATTATATGCATACAAACACTCAAGAGTAGCACCCGTTCGAGGTAATACCCCGTTCAGGGGCATGTATTTGCTGGTGGGATGGTTACAGCAGTTTTTGCAGTCTGTTAGTGACTCTTCCTATCTAACGGCTTTTACGCCCTCTGATTGGCTGAGCTCTCAAGCGCTCTCCCCCCATCTCTCCAGCGCTCTCTCTCTACCCGCGTGCGCGCCAAAAAGTTTCTCCTGGGCACTGGCTCTGGTGCGCTGGCGCGCACCAAAAGGTTCGTTGTGCTCTCGCATAAAAAAGGTTGAGAACGGACGGTTGATCTTTAACGCAGTTCCAGTTCCAACACTGCAAGCAGTGGTGCGGACAGCGGATTGCAGCTCGCGGATTGTGGAGTAGACCCCACACACGTTCAAGCTAAGGCACGAGGTACGATTTCTGCCTGGGTCTGTTGTGTGGCAGCATGACCTTCTGGTGTATTACATAATTTACATCCGGGGAAAGCCAGATGTTACGCAGCTTGTTGTTTCTGTTTGTGACCTGTTCGGACTCACCGCAAGAGAACTTTGTGTAATGACACAGCACGATGAGCATGATCCAGAGGAGTTTGCGTAAGGTCGTATGCTGCCGATATTAGGCTGGTGGTATGCTGCGAGCCGTGTTTGGTTGTGTTCTGTGTGGGTGTAGCTTCATGCAAACAAAACGAACGCAGGAGAGCAGGGAGATCGAGAGATCGCAGCACACGGTATGTGACACAATATACCACACCCCCTAGACCGATTTTCAAAGCTCTTTTACCTCCAAGAAGAAGAGGACACCGACTCATACCGATTCCTTTTCGGAAAGATCTCGAGGGGATGATGTTTCCAGTGCCGCCATATTCGGCACTGCCACTCTCTTCTGCTGCGGAGTGCAAGCTTTGGAAATAGGTCAAGGGGGTGTGGCATCTTGTGTCACACACAAGATACCACACCCCCTGAAGCTGTTTTTGGAGCTCGATTTCTCCACAACAGAACGACTGGCAGCGCCGAAAACGGCGTCGTTGAAGCCGTCTCGCGGAGGGCTTTCCGATAACCTGTCATTTCATTTCTGTATCCTCTTCGTGGTGGAGTAATCGAGCTTTGAATATCGGTCCAGGGGGTGTGGTACCGTATGTCACGTACGGTAGACTACTGCTGTACATGCATACAGAACGCGCCACCACTTAATGTAAGAACTTAGCAGTTAGCCCGTACGTGACTGGGTTGGTTTGACTTTTTTTTTCCGGCTCAATCAGCAAATCGACCCCACGGTACACATATCACTATCGCAATAAATGGAAAAAAATCATGGCAAATTATACAATTCCGTACCTTAGTAGAGAGGGGTGATCGTGCATGCTATCGTGCATGTAGTCCCGAAAACCCTTTCCCTTGAGCGAAAATTGCACACAGCACACGAACCTCCTTTCACTCCCAATATTGTGGACCACACACACCACAGTCATGACCACATCAGGCACCGAGGCAGTACGTTCGAATCGGCTCCGGTTTGCGGTATCTCTGCTCTCCATCGCTCAAGCGGGACCCCGGGTTGATCACATGTTGAGGGTGCTGTAAGTACCCTCCCGTGGTATTTACCTTCTAGATCTTACAGCAGTAGGCAGTAGATTGGATCTGGAAAGCAATGACTATCTGCCCCACATCAGAGACATCACTGCTGTACAAATGGTAGTACTACGTGTACTCCTGCGCACAATGCTCATATCCGTGCTTGTGTGGTGGGCTGCCCCTTGGGTCTCTCTGATGGCCTTTATGGTGCATGTTTTTTTCTCCTAGGCGAGGTAAGCCAGTGATCGACACACAAAGTTATCGTGCTGCTATCGTGCATGTAGTCACACAAGGGTTAAGAACTTGAGCCTCAAAACCCTCCTCAAAACATCCAAAGTATAAGAACTTGGCCATGAGAACAAGTGCAGTTCCGACGTCTCGCCCTTGCTGTGGTGTGTGTTGCCCTCCCCCTTTTTCCATGCCTGGCTCCGTGTGTGTGGTGTCTTGCGTGTGAGTATATGTCCCACAGGCCGCTGCTGTCGCTCGCTGCAAACAAAAAAACAACCGAGAGCCACAACCAAACGTGCTTGTATCTCTCCTCTCGCTTCCTCCGCCGATAGCTAACAGCAGCAGAAGTAAGGGCACACCCTGCTCCCGTCTCGCTCTCGCCCAAACTCTCGCTGTTATGTGTGTCTCCCCCCCCCCTTGTCCATGTCTGGCTCCGGGTGGTGTATTTTTCGTGAGCCTACGTACGTCTGTTTCCAAACAAGCCTCCTTGTCCACCTCGGTGACGCCCGAATGCCACAAACATATTCTGGACAGATGCTGTGCTATCTCGACGCACCGACCACGGATTGAAAAGGTAGTAGTTGGGACAGCTCGGGCAAATGTTACTTGTGCGCAAGTCTTAGATTGCAATTTGGTGCCTAGCTGGTGAAATGGGCACCAGTCTGCTGGACATTTATCGAGCCTGGTCACAGACGGACAGAGGGATGGGCGTTCATGTATCACCCTGTTGTGTGTGTGTGTGTGTGTGTGTGTTTATTAGCATCGACCGCGCGCGTGTGTGTGTGTGTGTGTGTTTTCGCGCATTCGTATGTACATCACGAGCCCTATACACAGTTTTTTTTTCCAAACAAAAAGCACCCCTACCAGGCCGCTCTGCAAAAAACACTCTTACAATGTGATCCTTGCGCACTGCGTACGCCTTTCTTTTCAGTGTGGTAGCATTGGCAGCATGGGCGAAGGAGAATGGAAGGTGGTTGGGCGTCGACGGCGAGGAAGACGGGAAGATGACAACGCCTCGGAGGTGCGATCCATCCTGGTTTTGTCCCATCGACTCTCGGCAGTTGTCAAGAGGTCCGCATTGTTGGTGCTTGTCGAGCCTCTTTCCGGAGACGGGCAACGAAATATTGTGAAGATTATCGCCGATGTTTTCAGAAAGTATTCATACTGTACGATCACAGAAAGACCACCGATTTATTTACCGGTGTTCGTGAAACTCCCAGGTCATGGTTGCCAAGGGAAAATCTGTCGCGATGGCCAACAGCATGGTGGATGTGACTCTGGGTGTTGTCAATGCCGAGGCAGCTGGCGATGCCGGGGGAACACCTGAGGGAATGCCCGACGTAGAGGTGGAGGAGCGGCTGGTTCTCATCCGTCAAGTACTTGGCCGGGCTTTATGTGAAGGCCGGGAGTCTGGCTCTCTATTGGTGAAGGGGCTGGCTAAAGTCGCTGAATCGTCTACACCGGAACAAGTGTTTGGCTGCGGCCCAGGGGGCGTGCTTCCGACATCGTCAAACAAGGTGTAATATTGTATTTTGTGGGGAAAAAGTATTATATACTGTGGTATGGACGTGGTCACAGCCGGTTGAAAACTGTATTATGTCAAACGTACCTTAACAATAGTGAACCCCGCGTGCTCTGCAATATCCGCGAGGTGAACGAGTTCATCGGAGTTGTTCGATATGGCGCAATAGATGCAACCGTAATTTTTTTGGGGGTCGTCTCCACCTAGTTTACTAGGTGCAAATTCCGCCAGGCATGCTTAGTTGCTCGTAGATAGCCATGTACAAAAAAACGCCTTCAGAAAAATGTCGGACGAAGTGAGCTGGACGAGGTGCTTCTCAATTCCTCCTTCCTCCGATCAAACCCAGGATATCTTCCGCTGGGTGTAGTTTGATGTACGTGCACAAACCCGCACGCTGCCTCTCTAGTCCATAAACTTGTCATTGTATTCCATTAACTTATCCTTGTCAATACCCCCGTTACTTCTCATAGTGTCATGGCGAGACACCGCACAGCTGCTTCTACGCCGCACGCAAAAGAAGCACCATGCCTGTAGAACCCTCGTGGTAACACACGCACATACCATCTTACATTTACGTTATAGGGTACCAGTTGTTTGGGGACCCCTAATACGGCAAAATCAAAATCCCCCGAAATCCATGGATGGCGTACCGCGTTCGACACAAGATAACACACCCCGGTACAACATGTTGGCGCTTCAAAAAACTATCACGGGGGGTGTTAATGTCCGGGTTGTGTGTTATCTTGTGTAGCCCGGTGGTAAAGTGGAGTCAGGCCGTGGGAGCCATGAAGGGGGGGTGAAAACTAGGGGATGTGATACCCCCACCACACACTTGCGGGGATCGAAAAGGGGGTGTGGTAACGAAAGGGTGTGATCCCCAGAGGGTGTGATAACCAAGAGGGGTGATAACCAGCGGTTGATATGCAAGGTGTGTGACACCACTGCTGTCGCACACTTCCGGACATCGAAGGGGTGTGTTAACATTGCCTGCAAATAATTACTATCGTGCCTGCTGTCACACGTGTAGGGGGCGTGGTATTGAGGGGGTATGGTATGTGTGCTGCTGAGCGGGGGTGGTAGCGGGGGAGGTGATACACCCCCAGACCATCTTTTTTACCCCGACGATAACGGCCAACAGCGGCCACATAGACCACAGCGAATCTGCTGCCATGCAACGAAAAATATATCCACGACATCTACCGCCTTGTGGCACAACAGAGCATATTCCAAGAAGGCTCCCCCTGCACAATCATGGCATTGGAGGTCTCCGTCCGGTTTGGTTCCCCCGTACTCAGAGGGTGTGTTGGGCGTGTTCCCTGCGGGGCCATTCTGTGTATGACTAGTGACACCGGGGTGATATTTAGTAATGGGGGCTCCGTGATTACATGTGGCCTAACCTCTGCGGGTGTGTTCTCTTGTGTAACCCGGGTGGTATTTCAGCAGCTCCTCGTTTGAAATCCAAAAAACAATCAATGGGGGGGTGGTATCTTATGTGGGTGTGATATCTTGTGTCGTATACGGTTTTCTACTTTCCAACCCTAAAAGCCTAGAATAGCGTTCGCGCAGGCTTGCGCGGGTTTAATCTTTAGATGAACGGTACAAGTATATGGGAGACAGTCCTGAAGGACACATTTCGGCAGGCTGACTTTGCATCGTTCTCCACTACTTTCCCCGGCCTGTTGTGTACCAGCACTCTGAAGGGTGGACGCCGTATCGACGTTGGCGGGACTGCGGCGCTACCGAAGGAAGTGCGCAAGTCGTTCGAGGCTCGCCACGTTGAGGCAGACGGCCACTGTCCGTGGAGGGCGATGGCCATGAGCTTTTTGGGCTGCGAGTCCCACTGGCGCCGGCTGAAGCTTGTTGTGTTGGCTTATGCCGCTGTTCGCGTGGAACAGATCTGTGGACTGGTCCCTGTTAGTCAGTACGACCTCGAAATCTGGACGGAGCACTCAAAGATGCATTCGTGACCCAAGAGGAAGGAAGCATGAAGTACATCGAACGCAACGTGCGGCGAGACATGATGTTTGCGGCTTCGCTCGCAAGACTCTGCACCCCCGGAGCATATGCAGGATCCCTCGCCTGCCAGGCGGCTTGTGAAGCTCTGGGGGTTACGGTCAACATGATTCACCCGATCGACTCCAAGACAAGAAAGAGATTGGACATGGGGCTGGTTTTGGATCGTGAGGGGAAGAAGGTGGCCGGGCAGGGATGTAGATGGAGCCAGTCCTTTTCTCCTAGAGTTCACAAGCGATGGGTGGTGCCTGGCGCAGGGGGAAAGACTCGGGAAGAAGTCACCATCGTCATGGTGAAACTTTCCAACCCCCTGTTAAATTCCACCAGCGAGCAACTGCAGGGCATCGGCGAGGTGCAACACGATACTAGAGACATCGATGATGCGACCAACCACTTCGCGGCGGTTGTGGCGACGAACGAAATCGGGGATCTGTGCCCGATGCATTTGATCGCTCTGTCCCAGAATGCAACCGATGACGCGCGCGATAGAAAGGCATACGACAAGCGCGTTTTGGCATATCGAGAACGACAAACCGGTCGTATTGAAGCGGGCGGTGACGCGGTGGGACCCGTCGAGACGACCGCGGCAGATACGGTGTTGATGTTGCCGATGGTACCCGCTGAGGCGATGGCGACGGGGATGGCGTTGGTGTTGCCGACGACAAAGAGCGAGACAGACCCCGCCCGGAAGACTAACGTCAAGGCGCGGGACATCCTATTCCTCGCGGACGAGGGCGGTATTTTCCGGGAGAAGCTACCACCCCACCGTTCCTGCCGCCCTCTCCTGTCTACCATTCCGCTGGTTCTGTTGCTGTTTCTCCTGCTTTGCCGTTCCTCACGCTCTGTTCTAAAATCGTTGAAGGGAATAGCGTCCGTGGTAGCCTCACGAGCGGTAGCATTCATGTCGATTGCCATCGCCCAGGCGGCCGCCATGGCGAGGATGGTGGTTGTAGGCCTTGCAGCATCGACGATGCACTCTGCAGCAGCTGCCAATGATGATGTGCTGGTGTCGGTGGGGGCAGCGGCGCCGGAAGTTACGGGATCGTTGGATGTCAGGGCGCCATCGCGGGAGGAAGGCCGGTGTGCGGGCTACTTGCACGCAAGCGGGGAAGACACGGAGACTTTGGATAGCTCGAGGGAGGGGCGGACGGGGAGTGTGCTACTAAGGCTACCGAAGAGGGGCAGGGGCAGGCGCAGGAGCAGGAGCAGGAGCAGGAGCAGGAGCAGGAGCAGAAGGAAGAGGAGAAGGAAGAGGAGGAGGACGAGGAGAAAGGGCAGGTCGGCGTGGTGGCCAGGGAGGAGGGCATCGAGAGGTTGCCGGGCGCGAAGTGGAGGGCGTGTTGCAAGAAGACCTACCCCCTGGTGCTCGTCGATGGAAAATGATGAGGTGAGCTACGTAGAGCAGTGCAGTGGGTGAGCTGTCACCACACACACAGCGTTCTTTTTTTGAACCAGCGTTCGCTGCATAATGCCGAGAAACTCGTATCCGGGCTGACACAATTGGGCTCCTCTAACCAGAGTCCGCCACCCTCTCTCCTGCGATACTCCTGCGGTACAAGCGTTCAAGGGAACGCGCAAGTAAATAGGGTACCAACGTCCCTCCCCTCAAGTGTACACTCACGAAAAAGTCGTTTATTCTCTGCGAGTATTGAATTTTGCCCCCCCAACCTGCGACAGGCAGTGCTGTTTTTTTAGCAGATATTTAGAACTGCATCGGCACTCTTTTTTTCCAAATGAATAAAACAACACGTGTGCATCTATTCATTGGGCAACACACGAGTGGGCATGGAAGATGCATGCGGTGTGCCAAGTTGCCAGCAGGGGGGGCAAGCACCGCCTAGACCTTAAATGCCCACGATCGAAATCCAAGAAGCCCGCTTGCCGTTTAGTCGCCTTGTGTGGATGTAAACTATGGCGGTGCCAACGTTGCCTGAATTACCGCCCGGCGCACACCCCCCTCGCCCCCGTCCGCCCTCTCTTCAACAAGTGGCTACCTTCTCAACTCAAACGAACCGCCAATCCCGGCCACACGAGGCAGCGGCCAGGGGGAGCAACACATGGCTCAAGCGGGTGCAGCAACGACCGTGCGGGGAGCGGTGGCTATGATTACGTTAGCCCGGGCGGGGGAGGAGGAAGGGACAGCGAAAACGACAGCGGTCCAAGAGGCAATGGTGGCAGCGATCAGGGTGGAGGGGCGAGAGGCGGTAGGGGGGGCGGAGGGGGCGGTTCTAAACGACCTGCGTGGATGTCGGGGGACGTGTGCCCTGGGTACGTATGCATCGACAATTTTCGGAATCCTGTGACGGGTCATGTGTGCGTGCGCGGAAACTGTGGTTGCATGGAGCGCTTTTAAGATGGTGGAAGATCACCCGAGTGAGGAAACGTTGAGGGTGCAGCGGCAGCAGAAGGAGCAGCAGCAGCAGCAGCAGCCGGGGATCCCGTTGCTGGCCGGAGGTGCAGGCCAGCAACGCTCCACGGGTGGTGTATTTGGAGGACGAGGAGCGTACAGCGGTGGAGCGGCAAGAAGAGATGGTTCTCGGCAAGGCGTCCGCCTCCCTCATATTCTGCCCCGGCCTGACCCGACTCCCGACCCGACTCCCGCAAGGACGAAAACCCGGGGTTCTCCCGTCCCCGTGCCGCGCGGTAAGACTCTCAACAAGTCCTGCTGGTTTTGTAGCAACGCCAAGAAAGCGAACGATCCTGCAATGCTATGCGGGGAGACTAAGTGCAAACGATGGCTGTGTCACCGGGAAGAATGCTTAAACCAAAGCGAGGGTTCTGATAGTTTTGTTTGCTGTTTCTGCGAGAAGAGGCGGGCGCGCGACGCAGCATCGGGTTGTCTATGTCACAGGTAAGAATCCTCATAGCCTGGTGTTGTTTTTGATAGTAGCTCACACTGTTGTGGTAGAGATGACACCTTACTTGGCAGGTGTTGACTGCTGTTGAGTGATGCGAAGTTGTGAGAAGCGTTGAACCTAACTTATCCCGGTTACGAACATCGGCACCTATTTGTGGGACACAATAGTCACGCAAGCATTTTTAGCCCGTTCAACTGGTGGTCAACCGTTGCCGATGTGTTTTCCATGACGGGCACGTACTTTGGCAATTTACTGACAGTGTTGCAGACGAGAAGTCTAGCAACCGGCAGAGCTTACCCGTTTGGAAACTGATGTTGTCTACGTCTCCGACCATATGGGCCGTGTTCCCTCTACTCGCTGTTCCTCTGTGGCAGCTGCAAACAGCAGAGGCAAAGAGCCATGAATAAGTCGGCAAAAGCTGCGGCTGGTGTCGTGCAACCAAGTGCGAGCTCGAGAGCAGTCAATCGTCAGGCACCAAGCGATGCTTTCAGTCTCCCATCTTGCAGAGATGATGGAACATCTCTAGTGTTCTCAGTTTCGACCACTACATGCAGGCACCGTGTGATCGTGATCGTCAAGTGTGTCAGACGAGGCGATAAGGACGTACCCAAGATCAGCTGTACGGGCGGGGAATGCCGAACGTGAGTGGTATTCGGCGGGCGTGCCTCAATTCCAGGCCGATTTGAGTTGACCGGTCATAAATTTTGGCTGCGGTCATGTTCGATATTGTTTTCACGTACGTAGTGCCCCATGATGGCACTGACAAGACCCAGTAACCAAAAAAATATCTAGGCCGAAGAAAAAGGTATACAATATGTGTAATATTGAAGTATTGGAAAATGTATGGGAAAATGAACTAAAAACTGAAAAAACACAGGAAAAAAATACGGACGTTGCGTCGCGGAAGTTCGAACCCGGGACTACAAACGTCCGGAGGCGCCAGTAGGCGCAAGGTCTCGAGGTAAGACAGGATACGGGCTTTTGAGGCTGTCATATATCCAATTATATTGCTGCAACGTTGACGGACATTTTTCCGTAATTGTTTCTGAAATCGGGGAGGAAGGAACACCTTGAGTTTTTTGTTTTGTCCTTTACATGGTTTAGAATTTTTGTCGTGCGCACCACGGCGATCGGGAATAATCCCACCGCCGTCAAATGGTTCTGAAGGAGAGCACTCCAAGAATGCCACTTTTTGCGGTTGGATCGCCGTAGTTGATGAGTTTTGGCGGTTTTGGTTGGGTGAGGTGCTTTCTGCGGTGGTGGTAATGGGGCCATAACTTTTCTCACAGCACGAACCAACCGCTTCCGATGCGCTCGTTCGAATGCTGCTGACGAGAGCTCGAGATCTTTCGCACGGTAATTTCGGTTCCTAACTTCTCTTTGGTCCGCGTTTATTTTTTTATCTGGGCCCCTGAAATCGGGGCGTTCCAGGTTTAAACGAACGGTTTTGATTCCACCATAACGCCTGCTCTCCTTTCAACGCGTTTGTTTTTATGCCACGGGTTGTTTGGAGCAGCAGACTCAAACTCAATCCCCGAGGTAGTGACCTTCGAGGAAGGTGCAGGTTGCCGTGCGGAAGCCGTGCGAGACACGGCGTGTTTGGGCGACTCAGACGTAGCGGCGATCAAGAAGCTGGAAAGGGGGTCTTTAGCGGATGGGGTAGGGCTGCTCTATCGCCTTGGAGAAACTGAGACGTTCGCCGTGCGCCACACCGGAGATCGATCCATTCCGGCTGGCTGGGCCCACGTTGAGACGAGAGACATAGCGCGCCCAGTTGGATCCCAACCGCGACCTGCGAGGTCGAGGAGGAGCACCGTCAATGCCAACATCCAGTGCAAGGTATTCCCGCTCTTTCTCTGTGTAGTGCGCACGAAGATGAAGACGCCTTGCGGGAAATTGTATGCCAGCTTGATCGGATTTCGTGCTTAGTGCGACCATTTTGTGTCCAAGGTTTTTTTGTAGTGACTCTCTACCCCGGCGAACGGTAATGGATCACCCCGTAGGTTCTGCGACCCAGAGGGTGTGTGCGTGTCGATAAGAATCTCAAGTAAATATTCCAATCATAGATGTGGTAACGTGGACGGAGGCGCGCAGAA